CACACACACACACACACACACACACACACACACACACACACACACACGAGACTGCTATTCATTCCCCTCATAGCCATTCCTTTCTTTCAAAATAACATTCAAAACTTGGCTGAAAATAGCGCAGTCAGAAACAGAGAACTTCACGACTTTCTTGTAGGTACATGTGACCACATGACTACATTTTGGCTAATAAAACGCAAATAAAAACATCCAACCTACAGCAGCTCCTAAAAAGTATCTTTCAGAGTGCTGGCACCTGCCCTCTTCTAACTTCCTGTCCTTCTAACAAAACAAAGTGGTTAGAGGCCAGGTATGACAGAAAACTAAAAGGCCATTAAATCCTCCAAAAAGGTTCTTGGAAAAAGCATGCACATCAGTTTTAGATCTTTACCTCTAGCATTTACTATCAAGAGATAAATAAGCCATTATGTCTTGCCCAAAGTACTTGATCCCCCTCCTCCCAAACAGCAGCTCTCTGGATGCAGGATGGAGGCAGCTTCAGAAGTGGGAGATTTTCAAGACATGCTAACCAGTCACCCCTCCCTCTTTCCTTTTTAAATTATTCTTATTTGAGACATGGTCTCACTATATAGGTCTGGCTGTTCTAGGACTATGTAGACCAGGCTAGCCTCAAACTCACAGAGATCCTCCTGTCTCTGCAGCCTCCAGAGTGCTGAGATTGAAGGTATGCACCACCACACCCAGCTCTCTTCTCTCCTCTTTTTAAGGACATATGCAGCTGTTACACACTAGGGATCAGATAATCTAGGCTGGAATTGGGCCTCTGCCGCTGACTGGCAAGCCAGTTAAACCTTCTCTAATCGTGTATGTCTCTATCCCCTGAACTGGGGTAGCACCATCTGTGTAAGAAGATCCCCAGAGATCCACAAGTCAACATATGAAAACAGAAGGCAATATTAATCACTACACACAAATTAATTGAGAATATAAGACACCTATGGGTAGAAACTGCCTTACACTGTATCTTCAGTAACAAACACTCAATAAATATTTGTTGATTAAGTATTTTAATACCTTTGATAACTGACAATACTGATTTTTTTTGGGGGGGGCTGAATAAAGCTGATGTTAAAGTATTATTTGTGTTTCTAACAGGCACAAATAATAACTCCTAATTTTGATGTCAGTCAAAAGAAGTGAAGGTGTGAACAGAGGCTCAGCTGCTAAGCCACTTCTCTGGGCCAAAAGTGAACCCACCTGCAAAAGCAACACAAGCTGGCACAGTTATACAGAACTGGAGATTTTATGAAAGAAATCCCAGAGAATCACAAAGATACAGCAAAACTATTCTTTAATATTTAAGCAACTAAACCTACCACATCAAACGAAAGATTTCCTCACACTGGACTGTGACCAAAGCATTTTATTATATTAACTGTGTAATTTGCAAATGGTTTCATAAGAAATTTTAAAAGCAAAGTTATAAACATCTTCAATAAAAAAGTACAGAGTTGACAGCAAAAATCACATTTTTATAGTACAAATAAAAGCATATTATTTCTGATATACTGTCTGAAAAGCATTTAGTCTATTCTTCAACTGCTAGCTGCAATGTGGCACTTTAATGAGACGTCTTGGGGTTGACAAGAGCAGGTTCATCACCTGACCATGAAGTCAACCACTCAAATGTGAGGACACAATGAATGAACTCTGTCATCCTCTAACTGAGGTTCTGCAGGCTTTAGGACACCGCTAGGTGTGTTCTAGCCTTGATTCTCTACTCACTTCTGTAAAGAGACATCAAGTAATACTGTAAACTTAAATTACACTTTAAAAATAAGCACCATTAACATACAATCTATACCAACTTACTTTTCCTTTTAAATGGCACTCGGTTTTGGCCACAGAGACATTTCAATCTGTTTTCTTTACAGGTAATTAAAAAATAATCAACATTTAAGCACAGCACAGAGCATTATCAAAATCACCTCATTGCACAATGAAAAAGCACTCGGAAAAAGCAGCACACATTATTTTTGTCCATTTCATACATTTTCTTGAGAGCTGTTAAAACATTGTCAGAGCAATTTCTTGATTTTCAAAAGTTTCCAACTGCCAGCTCAGAAATAACTAACCTTGTCATTACACATGTCCTTCTAACACTCGAATTTGAAAAGAAAGAGACCAAAACAAAGGACAGGAAACCACCCCAAAGAACTGGAGGCTGTTTCTTCTCAAAATCTGTTATAGCACAAATCCTTTCAGTCACAGTTTCCACTATATAATATGGATGATACTTAAATGTCACAGTATATAAGCAGTGTGGAAATACTAACAGAAAAAAAAAAAAAAAAACCTTCAACTTGAAAATAACAGCAATACATCACCAGCTAATAAACGTCAGAAAACATGCTCCAATTTTCTCACAGAAACAAGGAAATGGACTGAAAATGGTCGTGAGGGCCCTGGCCCATCTTACTCAATGCTTAGTTGTTGGTATCAATTATCTTTTTTCATTGGGTTCATACCAATAACAGACTATTAAATGTATATAACTGCTACTAAGCTCTTCCAATTTAGGAGTAAGAAATGCTATACTTTTAAAATGATTTAAAATACTAAGTTTACAAAGAGTTCTTCTAACCTGGATCATCTCTAAACCTTCTTTACCTCTGACAGAAAATTGAGAAGTGGGCAAAAGAAAAATCTTTGATAATTCTCAAAGTATCTCTACCTCTGTTGGGAACGCAAATTTCAGAGATTGGCAAAAGAAAGTTCAGAGAATATTCCTTCATAATTATAACGGCTTACACAATAGCAGATAGGGTTGGAGAAATTTTGGGATTATAAATATATATAATGTTCAAACTTTGTGTATTTATAGACAGTAATTAAGAAATACGAAGCCAAGAATGGCAAAACACACCTGCAGCCTCAACATTTAGGAAGGGCAAGGCAGAAAGACTGTAAGTTTTTAGGCCAACCTGGTCTGCATAACAATTTTCAGGTCTGCATAAGATTTACTCCATCATAAACTGTTCAAAATCAGGACGGGCACAGCGTGAGAACAGCTGCTTTACAGCGGCTTCCACCCACGGCACAACACACTTGCACTTCTTGCACTGCTTTCTTATTAATTATAACCATATGTCTGAAGAACTCAAATGTGATTTTTTTAACATGAGAAAATATAAAACACAGAAAATGAGTATGCAGCTGCGCACACTCCAACAATTCCAGGTTTGATATCCCTCATTTTTAAAATTATATTACCTTGAACACAGAAATACACTTACTTCACTAACTACTGCTTATGGTTTTTGTACTAAATTGTAAAAGGGAACTGCTTTAACATATATAACACTTCTAAGCATTACCAAAAATGGTGTGCTACACTACTGCAATTTTTAGAACAAATTATTACATGTCTAAAAATATAAATACTTGGGTATCAATAATCACTAACCATTTGTAGGTAACAAATAAGTTTTTTGTTTTTGTGAAAATAAAACCCAATGGTAAGGCTCTTTTTTTAAAGCATGATTCACAAGATGTAAAAGCGTGCTTTTCAGTTTTAGTCCCACTAAGATGTCTGCTCTTTGGGAGCTTTTATCTGTCAGTACTGTCAGTGCAGGGCAATGATGGTCATAAAAAGCAACGTAACTGTTTGGGACACCATATATATTGAATAGTCTGTATATCCAAAGTTAAATTTATTTTAACTACTGTCTCATTCTAGAAAAATTACACTTCACCATACTGAGTCTGTATTAAGAAAATCACACTTTACATACGAACAGGACACTAGCGCAAAGAACTCAATGAGGCTTTTCAGAAAGTTGGCTCCTTTGCAAAATAAAGATAAAAAAATCTTTCTAATTTACAAGGGTTTCTTTTACAGTTATACCAAAAATGTTTTTGCACTTACGTCAATAAGATTGCCTCACTGTTGCTTAGAAATGAAGTCTCAAGTATAAAACAGCCTTTAGCTGTGTCTACCGTGTGTCATTGCGCTCAGACAGTTCTATGAGGAGTCCCATGGCAGCGGCACACTAGAGACACCTAGCCACTTCTCCGTCTCTGAAAGCTTTCCTACCTACTGAAACTGAGACTCCAAGTTACTCTCAGACCCAACCTTTCCTCCCAGAAAATGCACACATCAGCAAAAGAGGAAAGTGATGAAAATCAGAGACACAGAGTGTCAGCCTGTCGGCACAACACAACAAAATCAACTGATTTTGTGTTAGGCTCTGAAAGCAGAAAAAAAATCTCATGCTTTTGCTGATCACCTTTACTATTCCTTTACTATTCCTCCTTTTAACACTATCCATCACGAGGCAGGAACCAGGTACACTGTCCTCAGAGATTTCCTTAGGACTTTCCTAAATGTGAAACAGTTAATACAAAGGCAGTGGGGATTTTTTTGTTTTTTTTTTTTTTTTTGTTGTTGTTGTTGTTGTTTTGTTTTCCTAAGAACCAACTAGAGAACTTAAGACTTTTAAATGCAGGTGATAATTTTTTAGACATTTTATAATCAATAAAAATTCCTTTTAATGTTTTAACAAGTAACAGGTTGGTATTTGATCCAGTAAAAACTTTTCTTGAATTCTGAAAAACATTTTTGTTTTACATTCCTAATAAAACACATTTGAAAGAAGAACTGACTGTATTACTACAAGTAAAATAAATTTCAATCTACAAACCTTCATACTTCTAAGTCAAGGGCTTTTTAAATTTTACTTTAGCATGACTTTCAAGCACCCTGGTTTAATTTCAGAGAACCTGTGGAAATGAGAAAACAATTATTTAAATGCAAAATTTTTTGTATCTTATAATCAATTCAAATTATCTATACTTAATATTTATTACCAACAGAGCCTCTTTTATTAATGTCTGTGTTTGCAATCCCCTTGATTTCTTGTCAAAGCAAACACCATCCTAAAGCTTCAGGCTAGTCTTAGATTAGTACTAGCCAACATAACTTAAAATTTCTCAAAACTTCTCAAGCCTGAACTGGACCTTCATGAAGAAGAGTCTGCTGTATGAAAGATAAGAGGGTGTATTACATTGTTTCTGAGCACTAGGAAACCTTTGATACAGCAGATGACTCTCATTCATCTGGCCATGCAAAAATTTAAACTCCGTCTCTGTAAATGTCAACACACACACTATAGCTTAGATGGCTCACTAACCTCAACATGACAAAGTTCTAGTCTAACCAATCCAATTGTAAAACTAGCCCTGAAAAAGGCTTCTAGCTTTCACGTGCAAAGTTAATGCCACTATTTTTTAAAGGTATTCAAGTAATATTTCATTGCATGGCATAAACAAATTTTACACTGACTAGAATCCGAAGACTGGAAAATGAGGGTAGAGATTTAAGGATTAATATATTCTCAGAGAATCTATTCAGCAACAAAGTGTTATACTTGGAACTTTCCTCATCAGTTTCTATTACTAACTAATGACTACAATGGAATAGGATATTTCATTCCTGTCAATAAAAATTATTAGTGCATTTAACTTATGAGGACATATAAATTCAGTTAAAACTTCTGCTAAAGTTTAAATACATCCAAATTATAAGTATTTCAGCCAAAGTACCACAAACACACTTACTCTTTCAAAATTAGCAAGTCTTAAGCTCTCACGTCATCTAGTTCTACTGGCAGTGCACTAACAGAGGAGGGCAAGGATGTCTAAGAAAGTCTTAGCATCATCACTGACAAAAGCCGTATTTTTCTTTGGTTTCTCATTTACCAGACAATATAAATCTAGGAATAAAAGTTATCCTTTAATTACTAATTTGTGACTGAAATCAGATAGCTAAGTTGAAGCAACTGTTTTCATAGTTTTAAACGTACTAACAGCAGAGTCTACACTCACCTGAAGCTGTGGCTTGTGAGGTATTTAATGACAGCTGGTTTGATTCGAGCAACTCCTCCCTGGCTGTGGTTTCCTCTCCCCGTAATCACAGAAAGATAGGGCTTACCACCACTCTGCTTAAATTCTGTTAAAATGTGAATCAGAACAATTAAAATAATTTCTTACATTCTCAACAGCAAATCTAACTATTCAAAAGCATGTGAGATTATTTGCATGGTTTTTTATTAGAGATTTAAAACCTAAGGGGGTAATCTGTTTTAAAGTACACAGAGCCTTGAAGCAGTTTATCCATTTAGAGACTTCAGTGGAACCAGGCTCAGCAGAGGGGATGAAGAGTTGGAGGCAGTCAGGATTACAAGGTGAGTCTCAAGTACATAGGTGTGACTCTGGACCAGGAAAGAAAATTAAGGCTTAAGTGAGGAGACAGATTTCCATTCTTTACAAGTCTTTCTAAATCATGACAGCAATATTAATTATATCTAAAAATTACTACATACATGGACTCAGAGAATGCTTTACATGACATATTTTTGTGAGTTAGAATCTCCACAACAACCCTATTAATTAAACACTCTAAAGCCAACCAACTTTGGTATGAATCACAGTGCTGCCACAAATTAACTGTGTGTGATTGATCGTGGGCAAACTTGTTGGTACCTGTTTCATCACATTAGGGAAGGAGATAATAATAACCATTATTATATACATTATCTTCCAGGAAGAGCTGACTATTAGCAAATCTAATTTTAACATGGTCCTACTATCAAAGATAATCCATTGTTAAATTCCCAGGAAAGATTTTTTTTCAAATACTGAAAGACACTGATGTCTTGAAAGAATGCAGCTGCTCCTTCATACTTGACTTTGGGAGGGTAGGTACATAGATTCTGCAATCAGTAACAGCTCTTAACAGAACAACAACAAAATCAAAGTCTTATTAATAATGAAGTAATTAATGTAATAAATTTGTTTCTTGTTTATAAGTAGCCTGTCTTTACATTCTGTTCTTCATACTTAATATTCAAATAGAACCAAAATATTGATTTTCAAATCCCGTTATATGCATGTCAATACCCAGCTTGTAATTTTATTTATTTCCTTATTTGAGGCAGTGTCTCACTATATGCCCTTGCTAGCATGGAGCTCACTGTAGATACCAAGCTGTCTTGTAACTTACAGTGATCGGCATTGGCCACCATATCCAATTAGCTTGGGATTTCATGTTGTTAGGACAGGAGGGTTATGAGTTCAAGGCTAGCCTGGGCTACCTACACAACTAGTGCCTGTCTTGAAACAAACTGAAAGTTTCTACTTTACTCTAATTCATTTTCAGCATACATTCATTTCTGCCTCAGATAGATCATTCACCACATCTCTACATAATAGTTCGCTTTTACTCTTCAGTTGATTTGCATGCCTCAAACAACAGAGAAACTCAAAAGATTTTTGTCTTAAAAGTTCCTATATGTGTTCACTGTCTAAAATTACAGACTGCCCCTGATATATTTATCATCTTTGAAACAACTGTTTAACTTCATTTGAAGCACATTCCAGATTGCTAATAATTTTAAACAACAAATGCTCAAATGATTCCCAAAAATGACTCCTCTAAAACAATGTAACAAGCCAGGTGGTGTTGTACAACCTTTAATCCTCCTACCTGGGAGGCATAGGGAAGCCTAGTGAGTTCTAGGACAGCAGGGACTACATAGAGAAACTCTGTTTCAATTATCATCTTAATTAATCACAGTTCCCCAATTATCTGAAATCCATTTATGGAGTGATTTTGGATTTTCTGTTTGTTGTTTGTTTTTATTCAGATTTGAAAAAAAATCTCATTCTGTTAATTTGGTTTTTTTCATGTAGGGTCTGGTCTTACTCTGTAGCCCTCGCTGGCCTTGAGCTCAGACTGACTTGGAACTCACTCTGTAGACCAGGCTATCCTCAAACTCAGAGATCCACCTGCCTCTGTCTCCTGAGTGCTAGAATTAAAGGTGTGTGCAACTGTGCCCAATTCTGATGTATTTCTTAGATGGCTATAAATCAAAAGCTTTCATTCCCTTTATTTTTGTTTATGTTTACTTTTAAAAAGAGGTTATTTGTCATAGATTTCCAGGCTTTATTTTGCTGACTGTATCTTTGTGGTTATATTTAACTTGTCCCTCTGTCCCCCATGAATTCCTATTACTTATCACATCCAAACTCTCAACTTCATGGTTTATCTGAAGCCAAAATACTTCACAGGGGTATGTGGACTTCAACACAAGGCATACAGGACCCAGACATCTCTATTTATCCTCAATTTTGAAAGGTCTTTTATATTATCACTGAAACTAATACAGGCTACCCCACAGATTCCTACCCCTTACCCCCAACACTTCTATTCGGCAATCCTGCCATCTGCTGGTAAGTTGGGAGGCAGAGGCAAATGAATCTGAGTTCTCAGACAGCGTGAATGACAAAGAAAGTTCCAGAACAAAAGGGCTACACAGAGAAACCCTGTCTCAAACAAAAATTATAACTCTATCATTCAACCACCAATGCAGTAATTTACTTGGCAAGAGCTATCAATACATGCTAAAACCATTGATAAAATATTCTTAGAACAGTGGTTAAGACTCACAGCATACCACCCACCAAAGACTATTAATTAGCAGCAACAAGATAAAAGCATATTTTTATCCACAGAGAAATTTGACAGAAGTTTCCTATAGAGCATCCAACAACCTCTTCAAAATTAGGACAAACAGGCTGTGAACATCTCCTGACTATTCACCAAGAACAGCTGAAACATTATCAATGTAAACAATATAGTTTGGGATTTTTTGGTTTTGGTTTTTTGAGACAGGGTTTCTCTGTGTAGCCTTGTCTATCCTAGAACTAGCTCTGTGGCTCAGGCTGACCTCGCATGGCTGCAGGAGCATGAGAATGTCCTGGCTTGCTGTTTCAGAGGGACACAATTCCCCATAACAAGACATGACTGCAGTTTCTCAGTGCTGAGTTTAAAGGCGTATGCCACCACTGCTTGGCTAACTAATATTGTTTTTAAAAAATACCTTACAATGTAACGTAGGCTGGCTTCTCCAGTCACCCATGTAGTATAAGACCTTTTTAAATTTAAATTCAGCCTGAATTGTCTAAAGAAAAGGAATTAATTATATATATCTGAAATATAAGATGTAAGCTTGGAGCCTACATAAATGTTAATGACATTGAAGAAAAAAAAACTATTCCAAATTATAGTAAAGCACATTGGATGATAAACAAGAACATGCTATACTTGACTAGATCCCAGAGAGAACAGGGAAAGGCACAGCTATGTAGGACAGTATGTACAAAAGATGGAAAAACTAGAACACGGCCTCTATATTAGACAATGTTTCTAGAGATGTTCAGTGTCTTCAAGGTGGAAAGGGCATAACGGCTAGAAAGGAGGGTTAGTCTGTACTTTAGAAATATAGATGCTAAGGTATTTCAGAGTTAAATCACCACATTATCTACAACTTATTTTCAAATGGGTCAGCAAAAAGCTATCTTACAGGAGCTGGAAACAGATGTTTTAAATTACTGGATGAAGCTGGGCATGGTGGTGCGCACCTTTAAAACCAGCACTCAGTGAGGCAGAGGCAGGCAGATCTCTAAGTTCAAGGCCAGCCTATTCTACACAGAGAGTTCCAAGACAATCAGGGCTATCCAGAGAGACCCTGTCTTGAAAAAAGAAAAAGAAAGAAAAAAAGAAGAGAAAAAGGAAAAAAAAGGAAGAAGGAGATTGGAGATAAGTATAAAAGAGGCATTTTAAAAACAAGAAACAGTAAAAATGTCTGCACTTGTTTATTGGACTCACTGCTCTATGGACTTTTTTTTTTTTTTAATAATCTAGAACCTCTTCAACAGAGTTGTGATGCTTCAGAATAAGCAGATGAATTTTCAATCTTACATATTAATATTACTTTATCACAGTGATATGTACTGAACTGATAAATGGATATACAGTCTGACCAATGCAGGGCATCTTTATAATTCTAAAATTCTCCAGTAATGACAAACAGATGATGTCTAGTATTACTGTCTGAGATAACTAAAACAGAATGAACTTTCTATGGAAGCTACCAACTAACGCAAATGAAGCACGATGCTACACCAAGACACTTTAATGTATGAAATGCATGACACTGAATGAAGTCTTGAAATAGAGCTCTAGCTGAAAGATGTCCTGGAAAGACGTTTAGAATTTAGGAAATGGCAGGTGTGACCTTTCCTGCTACCTGTGTAACTAGCAGAAAGAAAGGAACACTGACACTCTCAGCATTTAGAAAGCCTGCCTCTGGGGCAATTCTGCAGAAAACCTTACTTCCTCTTGTATCTGAGCAAACATCTACTAAAGACATTATTCAAGGCAGCCAATGAAAATTCTTTGAAGAACAACTAATACAAATGTCTACAAATAAAGCAAATAGTCCCAGTCTGCACAGGCAGATTCACAGTATTTGACAAGGCCCATCAGTATCAATGTTGTCAGTACATTCCTACCTTCTGTTTTCTGGTGTAAAACTGTTGTCAAATGCTCTATAGCTTCGTCCACATGCAGCCCATGGAGGTCTAAGACGTTCTGCGGCAGCAGGGAGGCATTGACTTTCTCAAAGATCTCCACAGCAGCAAGGTGGTTGGCTTCCTTCATTTTCTGCTCATGAAGACTGCCCTTTAATTATAAATACATCACCAACAAGAGACTTTTGATAACTACCACTTAGACATTCAAAGAAGCCGAAGTGCCCTAAACAACTCAGAACTAGGTAAATATCTTGATGTAACAAGCTAAAAGGCAAGAATGAACCAAACTTTATAGAGAAATTCAGTAACTAAATAATATGGTTTTTAAACTACTCAATCCTAGTAGAAAAAATCCTCAAATAAAAGTCATAAAAGGAAACTTAATATTTAGCTCAAGAAAGAACCAACTGGCTTAATGTTTGAGAAATAGTGTATTATACAATAATTGTGGGTCTCTCAGCTTGATGGTCCTTTCAAACACCTTCTAGTTAGCCCCTCATCCTGTGCCCAAGGTCTGTTGTTAAGGCTCAAAGGGTATGTATAATAGTTTGACACTTTCTGATCAATAATAGATTAAAGAATATGAAACCACAAATAAAAAGGATGTTTCTTACACTGTCATGTAGAATGAGCCTAGCAAGAAAGTCTGCTCTCTTGAAAAATATTAATGCTCTTTCCCTATTTGTAAACATGAAGCGATGTTAAAGGATAGGGGATGGCTCAGTGGTTAAGAACACTTGCTGTGCAAGCATGAGGACTTGAATTGAAATCAAAGTAAAAAGCTGGGCATATCTGTATGTGCCTTAACCTTGGCATCAGGGGAGAGACAGGTAGAGCCCCCCCCCGGAGGCTCAATGGCAAACCAGCCTAGCTGAAAAGGTGAGGTTCTAGTTCAGACATCTTTAATGACTGTCTTATGGCCATAAATGGGAAAGCGATAGTGGAAAATACCTGGTGTCCTCCTCTGGTCTCTATATGCACAAGAACATGCACTCACACACTAACATGCATGTACCAAATACATACACATTACACAACACACACACACACACACAAATAAATAATGCTTTACTAAAATCCAAAACATTACATAATGTAAGACCCATGTGATTCCAACATAACACAACCTTTTCTGCTTTCTCTCCTCCAAGAAATTTGTATCTGTTCAGACATACTACTGAATAATAAACTGCTAAGACTACCAGATGATTCAACTTAACCTAAAGGAAAATATGGGAAAATAAACCACAGTTCCCCAGGCGATACTCCCAGAAACTTGGAAAGCTAAGGCACAGAATCACAAGTTCAAGGCCAGTCTGGATAATTTAGTGAGACTCACCTCAAAATAAAAGTTAAAGGAGGAGAGATGTAGGTAGAGGAGAGATAGGAGAGGAAAAGAAAAGGGGTAAAATAAAGAGGGCTGGAAATACAGCTCAGTGGTACAGCACTTGTCCTAGCATGTGTAAGAGTAAGTTCACACTAAGACCTGAATAACAACTGTTAATTCATGAAGCTATACATACAAACAAAATGACAGAAACTGAGCAAAGTAAATAAAATTCTCACAATCTCTGCATTCTTTTATATTAGGCCACTTTATATGTCACTTATATAGTCTCTAAATTCTTCCCCAATTGTTAAGCCAAAACATAGTCTAAGTATCATGTACTGATTAAATACCGTAGTTGATGAACAAACTGTAATCAGTTTTCCACTTCACCTGCTGAGCATAAAAGGTGGCCACATTCTTCTTCCCCATGCGATAGGCCTCCTTAGCTTTGCTGTAGCACTCCATCCTCTTCTGCTGGTGTAGGAAAGCTTCTGCCCTGTAGTCATCGTACTCAGGGTACTCAAAATCCTGGAAAGACGGGTCACTTGGGGTGTCGTCAGTCTCTTTCTGTTTCTTTGTCTAGAAGAACACAATACATAACACACAGTTTGAAATAAATGTCTTGTTTTAAATGAATGTCTTATTGTTAGAAAGTGCATACACACTAGGCTCTGAGTCAGCAAGGTGGCACATGCCTGTAATTCCAGCACTTAGCTGGAAAGCAACAATAGGAAAATCAGACAGTCGGGCGTGTGCATGGTGGTATGGTAATACACAGGCAGGAGGAGTAGGCCAGCCTTGGCTACACAGTAATTGGAGCTACTCTGTGACTCTGTTTAAGAAGAAATACCGGGAAGTGGGGACTACCCTTTTCCAAGGAATAGAGGAGGGGAAATAAACCTACACACCTACGGATACTTGATTTTTGACAAAGTTGCCAAAACCATACTATGGATAAAAGATAGACAGCATCTTTAACAAATGGTGCTGATCTAACTAGATATCTACATGTAGAAAAATGCAAATAGATCCATACTTATCATCCTGCACAAAACTAAAGTCCAAGTGGATCAAAGACCTCAACATAAAACTGGACACACTAAACTGTTAGAAGAAAAATTGGGGAAGAACCTTGAACCCACTGGCACAGGAGACAACTTCCTGAACAGAACATCAACAACACAGCTCTGAGATCAACAATCAATAAATGGGACCTCATGAAACTGAAAAGTTTCTATAAAGCAAAGGACACTGTCATCAGAACAAAACACCAGGCTACAGACTGGGAAAGGATCTTCACCAACCCTATATCTGACAGAGGATTAATATCTAGTATATATAAACAACTCAAGAATTTACATACCAACAAAGCAAGTAATGCAATTAAAAAATGAGGTACAGAGCTAAACAGAGAATTCTCAATAGAGGAATATCAAATGGCAGAGAAACACTTAAAGAAATGTTCAGCGTCCTTAGTCATCAGGGAAACACAAATTAAAACAACCCTGAGATTTCACCTTACACCCATCAGAATGGCTAAGAACAAAAACTCAAGTGACAACACATGCTGGAGAGGATGTGGAGAAAGGGGAACCCTCCTCCACTGCTGGAAGAAATATAAACTTGAACAACCACTTTGGAAATCAATCTGGAGCTTTCTCAAAACAATTAGGTATATTGCTACCTTAAGATTCAGCTATACCACTCCTAGGCATATATCCAAAATATGTTCAAGTATACAAGGACGTCTGCTCAACCATGTTCGAAGCAGCTTTATTCATAATAGCCAGAACCCGGAAACAAAACAACCCAGATGTCCATCAATTGAGGAATGGATGCAGAAATTGTGGTACATTTACACAATGGAATACTACTCAGCAATTAAAAACAAGAAAATCGTGAAATGTGCAAGGGAACGAGAAAAGATCATTCTGAGTGAGGCAGAAGCAGAAAGACACACGTAGTATATACTCACTTATAAGTGGATATTAGACATATAATATAGGATAAACATACTAAAATCTGTGCACCTAAAGAAGCTAAGCAAGAAGGTGGACCTTGGTTAAGATGCTAAGTCCTCATTCAGAAGGGCAAACAGGACAGACATTGAAAGAGGGAGAAAACAGGGAACAAGACAGGAGCCTATCACAGAGGGCCTCTGAAACACTCTACTCAGGAGGGTATTAAAGCAGATGCTGAGACTCATAGCCAAACTTTGAGCAGATTGCAGGGAATTTTATGAAAGAAGGGGAGATAAAAGACCTGGAGGGGACTGCAGCGTCACAAGGAGAGCAACAGAACAAAAGTATCTGAGCCCAGAGATCTTCTCTGAGACTGATACTCCAACCAAGGACCATGCATGGAGATAACCTAGAACCACTGCACAGACGTAGCCCATGGCGGCTCAGTTTCCAAGTGGGTTCCCTAGTAATGGGAACAGGGACTGTCTCTGACATGAACTCAGTGGCTGGCTCTTTGATCACCTCCCCCTGAGGGGGTGGGGGCAGCCTTGCCAGGCCACAGAGGAAGACAATGCAGGCCTGATGAGACCTGATAGGCTCGGGTCAGAGGAAAGGGGAGGAGGACCTCCCCTATCTGTGGACTAGGGAAAGGGGCATGGGAGGAGAAAAGGGAGGGAGAGGATGAGGGAGGGGGCTACAGCTGGGATACAAAGTTAATAAACTGTAATTAATAAAATAAATAAATAAAATAAGAAAGAAAAAACGGCCTGACATGGTGATATATGCCTTTTAATTCCAGCAATCAGGAGGCAGAAACAGGTGGATCTCTGAGTTCAAAGCCAGCCTGATCTAGCCTAGTCTACAGAGGGAGTTCCAGGACAGCAGGGCTACACAGAGAAATCCTGTCTCGGAAGGAAGGAAAAGGAAGGAAAAGGAAGGAAAAGGAAGGAAAAGGAAGGAAAAGGAAGGAAACGGAAGGAAACGGAAGGAAACGGAAGGAGAAGGAAGGAGAAGGAAGGAGAAGGAAGGAGAAGGAAGGAAGGAAGGAAGGAAGGAAGGAAGGAAGGAAGGAAGGAAGGAAGGAAGGAAGGAAGGAAGGAAGACTGACCAAAAGATCAGCTGGACTCGTCTTTTTTTTTTTTTTTCTCAGAAGAGATTTCCTCAGTGTCTACATTGTAAGCCAAGTACTACCATTAGCGTCATTAGCTTTTTTTATGTCAATAACATTACCCCTTCTTTAACCAGTTTTAGACACAGAAATGTCCTTCAAAATTATTGGGGGGGGGGGGGTTGAGACAGTTTTTCGATGTAGCCCTAGCTGTCCTGAAACTCCCTCTATAGAGCAGGCTGGCCTCAAACTCAGAGACACACCTGCTTCTGCCTGAGTGCTGGGATTTAAAGGCATGCACCACCACTGCCTGGCTATTCTTCAAAATTACTAAAATAGAATTAGGTCACGAAATCAAACCAAAAGATAGAAGGTAAGATAGATAATCAGCAATACAAACTTATTCAGCACAGAAATCCAAGTGTTGGGTTGTGTTTAACCCTATTAGTTAGTTTTGCAGCCAATCCTCCCAGCACTCCAGGGCAGAGGCAGGAGTTCAGGCCATTCTTGGGTCCATACGGAATATGAAGCCAGATAGAAGATAGAAATACAGGATGTCTTGCTTTAAACAAACAAACAAAAAGTTTCAAGGCAGCAATGAGAAATTTAAACTTACTTTTTTTTTTTTAGGCAATTAAAAACAAGTAATTTAAAAAAACAGAATACCTGCTGAAGTTAGCATGGCTGATAGTAAACATCCTAAGTACATTCATGGGTCAGTTTCAACCTACTATGTACCATTAGCCACCGTGGTCAGTTAGAAATTTTCAGTAACCTTTAAAATAAAGCCTGTACCTCACAGCCCCAGTATCATGGAGGCCAAGCAGGTGGACTGAGAACAGTGTAAGCTACAAAGTGAGGTCCTCTCGCAAAAACAAACACAGCAAGTGTGCTTCTTATGTGTGTGTGCCCATGTGTGCTTAAAGTAGCAAGACACTGATGTAGAACATAAGATAACAACATTATAATTATGCAAACTGTCTATAGGTTTTTCCATCAAATAAGAACACTGTACTTTTAGATATTATTCTCAGATAGTGTATCCAAATACCTTTAGAATAAAGGTTCTCAACCTGTGGGTTGCAAACACTGTGGGGGTCAAATATCAGATATCCTACACATAAGATATTTACATTATGAGTCATAACGGTAGCAAAATTATACTTAGGAAACAGCAGCAAAAAAGTTTTATGGTTGGGGGTCACCACAACATAAGGAATTATATTAAAGGGCCACAGCATTAGGAAGGTTGAGAACACTGCCTTAGAATATTAAAAGATAATGTTTAAGAACTGAAAAGAGTGATCTCTAAGTCAACCGACTTTTTGCTAATTCTTTTCTTCAAAGTTATCGTTCACTGAACACTGCTTTAAAACGGCAATCTATGTCTGATCTTTACATATGTGTGGTTTCAGTTAACTTACTGGGAACTTTAACAGTGTAAGCCATACAAGTTAGCACTGTATAATTTAATAAACACTCACAACCAAAACTAAACAAAATCTTAACTTTCAATACTTTAAAAAGTGCTTTTATTAATATAATTATTTGACCAAGTACGTTACTTACTGGAATTTAAAAAGATGGAAATTATCATTTTTCTTAGAAACATTATCAGGAATTATATTTATAACGTACTCTATAAAACAATGACACATAGGTTTAAAATCTTATAGATTTTATAGTATGTACTATAAAAACATGTAATACACACACACACACACACACACACACACACACACACACACACACATATTCTAACTGATAAAAATAAACCAAGAACGAAAAACTGACCTACCATATAGTAATAGTTGGTTATATAATCTACTCAGACTCTGAAACTGTCGAGGCTTAAAATAACAGATATCACCATGCTCTTCAAGAAACTTAATTATTAGTCAGGCACCCACACCTTGAGAGGCAGGCAAGAGATCTTTGGGTTCAAGGCCAACCTTGTCTACATACCAGGGCTACACAGTGAAATCCTGTCTCAAAAAAAAAAAACAAAAAAAAACATACAAAACAAAACAAAGTTTTAAAGATGGGTTGTAGAGATGGCTCAATGGTTAAGAGCACTTGCTACTCTTGCAGAGGACCTGGGGGCTGGTTCCAATTCCCACATGGAGGCTCACAACTTCTTGTAACTGGAGTTCCAAGGAATCTGATAGCCTTTTCTGGCCTCCATGGGCCCTGCACACACAGTGCACATATATACATGCATGCAGGTAAAACACCCAAACACATAAAAAATAAAATAAAGCAACAACAGAAAATTCTAATGCTGATACAAGATTAACATGTAAAAATCAATTGCACTCCTATTGATTCAAAATGAGTTATCCAAACATAAAATTAGACATTTTCAAGGTAAAATAGAGAAATCACTTAGGAAAAAGATTAAATATATCTGCCCACATAATTAGATTATAGAATCTATGATATAATAAAACCACTGCTATTCAATTATGCCTCATACTATACTGTGTCTACATAGAGAAGTCTACAAAGCAGGCAGATCTCTGTGTTAGAGGCCAGCCTGGTCTAAAGAGCAAATTCCAAGACAGTCAGGGCTACACAGAGAAAAACTGTCTCAAAAAAAAAAAAAAAAAAAGTCAAGTCTACACAGAATCTATAGGAAGTTAAATGCTTATCATGTATAACAAGATTAAATAGAAACAATTAGGTATAAATTCATGTTTTGACATACAAAGATATTCTTTAAAAAGTTATTGGTTATTAAACTTTCAATCTAGTCAAAATAGTAAAAATAATCATTAATTATACTCCATAAACAAATCATTTTATGTACTTTTTGTCTCTGTCAACAGGATGGATATCAGATAACTCCCAACCTTTTTCTCCTTTGATTTCAGTGCGGTATGAGAAGCGGTGCTCTCATTTTGATGAACGCACTCCTGCGCTACAACTGTTTTCACAGGGTCTCCTTCAAGAACACAGTTTAGGAACTGCACCGTGGGTTCCAGCGAATAGCTGTTTAAATATCAAGAAAGACAAGTCAAAGCATGAGCACCATACGCCATCATCAACCATGTTCTAAGAGCACATGCTGTTTTGCAGAGAACCCAGGTTTGGTTCCCAGCATCTACATGATTGCTCACAACTATATGTAACCGCAGTTCCAGGGGTGGTAATGCCCTCTTCTGCCTTCTGTGTGTATCAACCATACATGGGGTATACATAAATACATGTGGGCAAACACTCATATGCATAAAATATTTTTTTTAATTAAAAAGCATAAAGGGTTGGCTTACTTGTACATTGTAAATATTGAAACCGGTATTTTACTACTGGTTTTTCAAGATAGGGTTCCCCTATGTATCGCTAGCTGTCCTGGAACTCCCTGTGTACACCAGGCTGGCCTTAAACTCACAGTGACCCACCTGCCTCTGCCTCCTGAGTGGTGGGATTAAAGGCGTGCACCACCACTGCCCAGCGCATGTTTCTTTTAATTGCATCATCTATATTCCATATATCTTTTGGGGATCTATATACAGTTTGTTTCTTTTCAAAATCAAACACAGACAATATGTCTCAACACTGATACTTGTAATTGCACTTAACACCATGAAGTTCTAGTTTAGAGAAGGATGTAAAGCACTGTCTGCCCCTCAGCCCCGTTTCATCCGGGCATGTTTCTAATGGTAAAAAGGCAATGAAAAAATTTAAAGAAAAATTAACAAGGAATATAAGTTGCTGGAACTTTTCACTTTCTTTATAATATATATTATATAAATATAATTTAATAATTTATTAAATGAATACTACAGGTAATTTGGCATACATGTCCAGGGACACTAGTGTAAAAATCACAGCCCATCCTTCTAGCACTCACTCACTTGTGATCTTTGAAAATGTCCGCCAGGAAATTTTGATTAATGGCTGGAAATATTTTAAAGAGTTGCTTCTCCTTTAGTTTAGTGGCACAGTCTTTTTCAAACATAAATGTCTCCCTTTTCTAAAACAAAACAGAAAACAATCACTCATAAGACGAAATTTATAAGCCAAGCAATATTAAACAAAAGCCTGATTATTTTGTTACAAAAAGATCAATGATTTATAATAAATCACAGACTTTCTTCACTGATCAAAGGCTGAAATTAGAAAATATTTTTACATAAGATTTCATGCACTCTGCCCAACAGTTGGCCATAAGTCTCAGCATCTGCTTTGATAGTCTGCAGGGCACAGGCTTTCAGAGGCCCTCTGTGGCAGGTTCCTGTGGTTGTTTCCTGTTTTCTTCTTCTGATGGCAAATAGTAAGAGCTGGAGAGGACAGGAACCACACAAGGAAAGCAACAGAACCAGAAAATTTGGACACAGGGAACTTGTCCAAATTGCCAGAGACTCATACTCTAACCAAGGACTATTCATGGAGATAACCTAGAACCCCTGCACAGATGTAGCACATGACAGTTCAGTGTCCAAGTGGGTTCCATAGTAATGGGAAGAGGGACTGCCTCTGACATAATCTGATTGGCCTGCTCTTTGGTCACCTCCCCCTGAGGAGGGAGCAGCCTTACCAGGCCGCAGCCTTACCAGGCCACAGAAGATGACAATGCAGCCACTCCAGGTGTGATCTGATAGACTAGGATCAGAAGGAAGGAGAGGAGGACCTCTCCTATCAGTGGACTTGGGGAGGGGCATGCATGAAGAAGGGGGAGGGAGGATGGGATCGGGAGGGGAGGGGAGGAGAACCCCCCCAACAGTGGACTTGGGAAGGGCATGGGAGGAGATGAGGGAGGGTGGGTGAGGAAGGAAGCTACAGCTGGGATACAAAGTGAATAAACTGTAATTAATAAAAAATAAATAAAATTTTAAAAAATGGGGTACAGAGCTAAACAGAAAATTCTCAAACGAAAAATATCGAATGGCAAAGAAACACTTAAAGAAAAGCTCAATATCCTTAGTTATTCAGGAAATGCAAATCAAAACAACCCTGAGATTCCACTTCACACCATCAGAATGGCTAAGATCAAAAACTCAAGGGAAGGGCTTGGGGAGGGGCATGAGAGGAGATGAGGAAGGGGAGGTGGGATTGGGAGAGGATGAGGGAGGGGGCAACAGCAGGGATACAAAGTGAACAAACTATAATTTATAAAAGAATAAATATTTTTTTACAAAAACTCAAGGGATGAAACATGCTAGAGAGGTTGTGAAGAAAGAGGAATCCTCCTCCATTGCTGGTGGGAATGTAAACTTGTACAACCACTTTGGAAAGCAATCTGGCACTTTCTCAGAAAATTAGGAATCGTGCTACCTCAAGATCCAGCTATACCACTCCTGGGCATATATCCAAAAGACACTCAAGTATACAACAAGGACATCTGCTCAACCATGTTTATAGCAGCATTATTCATAATAGCCAGAACCTGGGAACAACCTAGATGTCCCTCAACTGAAGAATGGATGCAGAAATTGTGGCACATTTAAACAATGGAATACTACTCAGCAATTAAAAAAAGGAAATCATGAAATTTGCAAGCAAAGATCATCCTGAGTGAGGTAACCCAGAAGCAGAAATACACATATGGTATATACTCACTTATAAGTGGATATTAGACATATACTATAGGATAAACATACTAAAATCTATACTCCTAAAGAAGCTAAACAACAAGGAGGACCCTAGGGAAGAGGCTGAAACCTCTCTCAGAAGGGCAAACAAGACAGACGTCAGAAGTTGGAGAAGACAAGGAACAGGACAGGGGCCTTCCACAGGGGGCCTTTGAAAGACTCTACCCATCAGGGTATGGCAGGAGATACTGAAGTTAGAAATTTAAGTATTCTTACATTATTTATTTATATCCCATTTTTGCCAAGCATTTAAAGATGTTTCTAAATGCATGTAATCACATATACAGACACATACACACCTAATAGTCTATTAATACAGTTTAACAAGGATGAAGCTACATATATAGTCATTAACCATGCTTCAGTAAATGATGGATCACATATATACTGGTATGTGCTATACCCTACAGCCTAAGTGTGTAGTGAGCCATACCACACCAGTGTAAATACACTATGATATTCAGGGAAGAAATCACATAATGATGCTTTTTTACTTGGGTCATCATTAATCAATGGAACTATTAAAAATATAGGATATAAATAAAGTCAAAGATCAAAGAAAATAAAGAATATAGGATAAACTTAGCAAATAAAATTAGTATGGAAACCCACGTCACAGATTACTCAGGAGTAATTTTCTGGTACCGGAACCTGAGAGAAATGTCTCCTGTGAGTCCTCATTAAGGGACACAGGGATGCTGTGAATGTCCTCGTCAGTGGGCAGAAACTACATTGTATAAATGTTGCCAATTCAGGTTGACAGAAAACCTTAAAACTCACAATTGTTTAAAATGTTTTCACAAATACATTCATTAAAACAAAACTATATGTGTATTAATACTTTTCACAATCCATTTAACTGAGCATCCAGAACTATTCCGACCAGGTAGAGTTGCACATGCCTATAATGTTTGACATACCAGATAGAAAGCTGGAGTGTTCAAGCCTAGTCCAATCTAGGCTACATATTGAAAGCCTAGCAAAAAAGTGACTGGGTACAGGGGTCTTTTCTGAGACTGATACTCCAACCAAGGACCATGCATGGAGGTAACCTAGAACCCCTGCACAGATGTAGCCCATGGTAGCTCAGTGTCCAAGTGGGTTCCCTAGTAATGGGAGCAAGGACTGTCTCTAACATGAACTCAGTGGCTGGCTCTTTGATCGCCTCCCCCTGAGGGGGTGCAGCCTTGCTAGGTCACAGAGGAAGAAAATGTTGCCAGTCCTGATGAGACCTGATGGGCTAGGGTCAGACAGAAGGGGAGGAGGACCTCCTCTATCAGTGGACTAGGGAAAGGAGCATTGGGGAAGAAGAGGGAGGAAAGGTGGGATTGGGAGGAGGCAAGGGAGGGGCCACAGTGGGATACAAAGTGAATAAATTGTAATAAAAAAAAAAAAAAAAAAAGAAAAAAAAATTAAGCTTTCCAGGAAGGGGAAGGTGAGACTGAGAGGAGGAAGGGGGCTACAATCAGATGTAAAGTGAATTAATTAGTTAATTAATTTTAAAAATTAAGTTTTCATTTCATCCCTAAAAATTTTGAGTTAATGCCTAACATATTTACAGAGTTGCATGAGCTAAGACATCTGTAGTGAGTTCAGTAGATTAATTCTTTACTGGCTGTAGAAAAGGTTTACGTTTTTCATTTTTATTTCCTTTTCAGTAATTCTTTCTTATTTTGCTTTATAGAAATGTCCAACCAAAACAAACTAGAAACTTAAAAAAACTACTGTTCTTCTCCAGAGAGACCTTGACACACTGTTTTGTTTTGTTTTCCCGGTTGTTATTGGTGGTGGTGATGATGGCTTTCTGAGACAAGGTTCTATCGTATACCTCAGGCTGGTCTCACACCTACTGCGTATCTCTAGTGGCCTGTGCCCCACAAGTCTCCTGCCTCGGCCTCTCATGTGCTACCATATGCGTGCTGTCATGGCCCTGAGATGTCTGGGTTTTGTTCTGTGTATGAGGGTTTGTTTGCTTGCTTGCTTTGTACGTCTGAATGTTTTGCTGAATGTATGTATGTGAGTGTGCCATGTGTGTGCTTGGTGCTTGCAGAGGTCCGAAGAAGGCATCAGATCCCCTGGAATTAGAACTACAGATGGTTGTGAGCCATCACGTGGGTGTTGCGAGCTGAGCCCTGGCCCTCTACAGAGCAGTACAAGCTCTTAACCACTAAACTAGTCCTGAAGAGACCTGATAGGCTAGGGTCATATGGAAGGGGAGGAGGGACCTCCCCTATCAGTGGACTGGGGGAGGGGCATAGGAGGAGATGAGTAGGAAGGGCAGGATTGGGAGGGGATGAGAGAGGGGGCTACAGCTGGAATGCAAAATGAATAAATTGTAATTAATTTAAAAATTAAGTTTTTAAAAGTGACACTTCAAATGAGTAAGTAAGTAAAATAAACTGTCAGACTAAACACAGCTCCTTAAGGCAGCTCTCTCGGCCTGCCCACTGTGTGGACAGGACACAGAGTGGCATGCAGTACATGCCACTGTGGAGGCTCTATCCCAGTCTACCTTCTCCCCTTTAGACAGGCTCTACACAGGGTTCTCCTATCTCTACCCCAACAGCTCAGATGCTAGTATACCCAGTGTTTAAAATAATTTGTTTTTTTTTGTTTTTGTTTTTCAAGACAGGGATTCTCTGTGTAGCTTTGGCTGTCCTGGACTTGCTATATAGACCAGGCTGGCCTGCAACTCAGAGATCCGCCTGCCTCTGCCTCTGCCTCCTGGGATCAAAGGCGTGTGCTACGACACCCAACTAAAAAACTTTTTATGGACTTGAACTCAAGGCAAGTGTTTATACTCACTGAGCCATCTCCCTAGAGTCTCCAGAGTATTTTATTTTTCTAAAATAAATTATGAAAGCAATTCTTAAAGTAGCTGGGCAGTGGTGGTGCATGCCTTTAATCCCAGCACTTGGAAGGCAGAGGCAGATTAATATATGAGTTCAAGGCTAGCCTGGTCTGCAGAATGAGCTGCAGGACAGCCAGGACCACATAAAGAAACCCTGTCTCAAAAACAAACAAATGAAAAAGATTCTTAAAGTAACTTTCATGCTTTCTGATGTCGTCAATGTATAGTTAAATAATCTTTGCTTGTCATGAAGACTCTAATCTCTGAATAACAACCTTCTATACAATTTCAAAGGCCATTAAGTTAACCCTGAAATTTTTTAACTTAGAAATTTTAATAATCGAGGACAATCCTAGAATTATCTGTTTAAAGTAACTTGTTGGACCCATTGTAGCACCAAATGAAAATAAGAAAGGAAGCTTTAAAGCCCTGCCCAGGAAATAACTAATCAAGGTGAACACATCACAGAGTAATGGAAACAACCAAAAATGTAAAGTATTGAAGTACAGCAGACACACCTGAGCTGATGAGGCCTTGTCTCAATAGAAGCAAAGAATTAAAATATTTCACATATACTCTATAACCTGGATTTACTCTGCCCCTCTCCTCCCCACCAAGAAAATACTCCTCAAACCTAAGCGGCCACCATACTTCGATGGACTTATGATCTTGTCGTCCTATAGTTAATGCTCATGCTTTGGTCACTAGCATATGTGAAGTTCACTTCCCATTTCTTTCAGTACACAAAATGTATTTCTCCTTCCAGAACAGTGAAAAGGTAACATCAAAAAACTCTTACTGATCTCCATTAAATGAGTTTTCTCAAAAAAAAAAAAAAAAAAACCCATATTCTTGAAACCCAGTTGTCTAGTTTCTATTGTACCATTTGTTTATGAAAAAGAACAGAAAGTTATTGACGTAAAAATGCATTGAATTGTAAAGTCAAAGAAAACTCATTTGTTAACAACTATTGTGAGACTATAAGACACGTCAGAAATATGAAGGTATGTTTCAGTAATGAAAATGGCATTCAACAAAACTATTACACTATTTAAGCCTAAAGTGTTAGCTTAAGAGAATCCATTTTTCCAGCTTACTATAAATTAAGAAGAATATCTGAAACAGAAAAACTTTAAGATACTATTTGAAGCTATTTTATATATGGGTGCAGCAACAGGAACTTTATCCTGAAGATTATGAGGGAGAAGCATGGAGAATGTCTCCAATCCTCCTGCACTCAATTCCATGCACTGCAGCTAAATACAAAGCTGAGTCTGTGAGTCATACACATTAAAGTAAAAAATGCTTTGGTCACTGCTATGTGCTGCTTTTTCCCTTGATAACCTGACTAAGTAACTTCTAAAGTCTTTCCATTTTAATTTTTGAATTCTTTAGTTCACACTTTCAAAATTAAAAAAAAAAAAAAGCTGAAAAGAATTACTAAAGAAATCAAATTCAACAATGGCTTTAGACATGTTGAAAAACAAAAAGTAAGATTTAAAATAAAGTTTCTGTTTAAACTTTAGTTGAAGAGGAGAAAAGGGAAGAAACTGAATTGTAAATAAAAATTCCCAGGTTTCTAATTTTTTTTTTCTCTAAACTTTTGTTTTAACGATGGGTACATCTTACTCAGTAGACAGAGGCAGGCAGATCTCTGTGAGTTCGAGGCCAGCATGTCCTACAAAGGGCTAGTTCCAGGACAGACAGAATTACACAAAGAAACCCTGTCTCAACTCCTTCCCCCCAAAAGGGAGAGATACACCTTTAAAAAGTAATACTATTTTTGTTTCTAAACAATGTATGACACTATCTTTAAATGAAAGATTTCATAAAGTAAAAGATTACAGAAGCAAATGTTAAAAACTAGCCATGAAGCCTGGCAGTAGTGGCTCAAACATTTTAATCCCAGCACACAGGAGGCAAAGGCAGGCCAATCTCTAGATTTAAGGCCAGCCTGATCTACAGAGTGAATTCCAGGATAGACAGGGCTATACAGAGAAACCTTGTGTGGAAAAAAATAAAAACAAAGCAAAGCAAAGCAAAACTGCCAATCAAAACAACTTGATGGCCTGAAAAACTTAAATCTAAAATAAACACACACTTAACACTCTGATGACTTACGTATGTCAAAGTGTCAACTAGAAGCAAATCCTAGACCCCAGATCAGCTTTACATTGGCTTCAGCCACCAGGTTAAATATGAAGTCTGGATCCAAAGACACAGAATTAAATGACAATCACATGTTAATAACACAATGGTCGGAGAACACAGATTAGTGCCCAAGCTAACCCATACCAGGTCATGTTTCTCCTGTAAGGCAATTTCTTCTGACATTATTTCTCGCAGTGAAACTTTTTTTGTTTGAGTGTTCCAAGGATCCAGTGTCTCGGGTGCTGCTAAAGTCTTCAATAATTTTTTGCCTGTTTTTTGAGATGACTTTTGTTCAGAATTATCAAGAACAGCAAGTCCAGCCAGTGAAGGATCTACAAGAGTAATATAAAGGTAGTGTCACTGATTTGGCAACTAATTTACAAATTAAAACAAAAGAAACATGGAATTTTAAAGTCCTTTTCAGCCTATACTATAATACCAATTTGAAATTTTAAAATAAACCTTCACATAACTACAAGCAAAAAATGTTAATATAGCAATATTTTAAGTGAGCAATGACCTAGGTGTAACTATAAATTAACTCAATGCTCCCCATATCTCTTTGACGCCCTCCCTCCCCAGCAAAACAGTTAATGCTGAGTAGTGAGCAACAGGGAGAGCTCCACTCAATCGAGTCTACTACTTGGAAGTGAGAAGAGCAACATGCTGACAAATAGTAACAGACCAGAAGCATACTATAAATAGCAAATTACATTCAAAATAAAGAACAAACCATGAAGTCCAGAGCAACAGGGTTAACATGTAACACTTCAACATCTTTAAGGGATACAGAATACTCTGATATAGTCCTGTCTCTCTGAGGAGTGAAGCAATGGCAGCTGCTGCAGCCACTGGCATTCATAAAACCACAAGATAGGTCCGGTCACTTCTGCCACCAGCCAGATTTAGCTCTTTACAAGTATTTTTATTAATTCTTTGAAAATTTCATACATTGTGTTCTGATCAAATTCATCCCCCTCCTTCCCCGTCTCCTCCCAGACCCCATCCCCACTATGACTAAGCCGGCTTTACATCTTTCATTTTCTCAAGCCCGGAGTCCCTAGAAGTGCTGCCTATGAGGTGTGTGGCTTCAGTGGAGCTTCTCTCTTGAAGCTACAACTTGAGCACAAGAATGAACTAAGTGGAGTCCAACAATCTTCAACCTAAAGTTCCTTGCCTTGGCTGCAGTGTGGAGTTCACAGAAGTACTCAAGCTGCTCCCTTACCAAAAAAGGGCCCTTCTTACCAGGTCTGCCATGACAGAAATACTGTGTAAGAAGTCATCTGGAATGAAGGACTTTAAAGTTGGCAGGATTTACCAAAAAGAAAAAACCAAGTTTACCTTTGTAATTTAAGGCACTGATATCAATAAAGATTTCAATATCCAAGTAAAAATTCTACAATGCTATCAAGAAAACCAAAACAGTTTTTCTTAATACAGAGCAAAACCTTACCAAGAAGCACTGACAGTACGTATCGAAGCACACTTGAGACACTCCACGGCAGTCATGATAAACATGCAGCACGCAGCCCTATTTTCCTCTAAGTTTCTAGCAAGCATCAAGATTCAGTGTTAACATTTTTTGACAGAACATTGATTTGTAGCTGGCACAGTGTTAACCAAACACTCAAAAAGCTTAAGAAATTAGTACTGCAAATTCAAAACCAGTCTTGGCTTCAGACTGTCTAACTAATACAGAAAGAAAACAAATTTAAAAAAAAAAAAGATTTCTTGCTGGGCAGTGGTGGTGCACACCTTTAATCCCAGCACTAGAAACAGAAACAGGCTAACCTCTGTGAGGCCAGCCTCTTCTACACAGTAAATTCCTGGACATTTAAGGCTACACAAATAAACCCTGTTAAAACACAAACAAACAAAAGGGTATTTTTTTCATTTGCAAATCAAAATTCTTAGGAGACTTGGCAAGTAAAGGTACTTGCTGCCAAACTTGATGACCTGAGGTCAATCCCCAAGATCCATGAGGTGAAAGGAAGACACCGCAAAACCACGACACTCACCATATACATACATACACACAAATTTTAATGTCATTTTAAAAATCCTTGGGTAACATATTCCATTTTGTGGAAGTACATTTAAAATGAGCTAAAATAAACACAGCCGGCATTCCAACATCAAGACAAAATCAAAGTCAAAAGACGTACCTGGAATACACTTGCCACAAGAAACCTCCTCCTGTCTCTGCCGCTCCTAAACACAAAAGCAGAGGGCAAACATTGGCAAAGGAGGGCGCACTAGGAAACAAGCTACAAGGTTGTATTAGTTCTTCTTATGAACTACAAACCATTATTTAAATTATGTAAAATAATAAAACTATATAAATAAAATCACTACATTGATTAGAGATGTAGAATAGCTACATTGGGCTAGAGAGACGGCTCAGGGGTTAACAGCACTGAGGACCCGGGTTCAATTCCCAGCACCCACATGGCAGCTCACAACTGTCTGTAACTTCTGTTCCTGGGGATCCGACTCCCTCATCGCAACATAGCTACATCTCTATATATTTTCCCTGCTTAAAGAGTTCTATTTTTTAAAATTTGTTTTCATTATTTTTTAAAATTATGTGCATGTGTGTACATCTGAATATGAGTATGTGTAAAACAGAAAGAGGACCGCTTTCTACAAGGAAGCTACCAACCATTACAGATTCTCTCCATTTCTCATGAATCACTTTAGCCAGGTTCAGATCTATGTGAACCACACAATCCTCAACTGTTAGAGACCCTTGTGAAGAGAAGAAAAGAGAAAACTAGAATTATTACTCAGCATACATTTGCAGAAAACATACTCAACTATCATAAGCATAAATTAAATTGTCATTAATTGCTAACACATTTCTATTTACTTGGATATTTTTTATGTTCTATGACAGTTTTCATACCTAAGTGGTGCAACAAGTACACTTCATGATCCATGTAAGTGACTGACATGCCTGTTCCTCGGTAACTTAATAATTCCTAAACAGTGTTAGTTGAGATAACAGTATTCTAGGAAATTAATTCCTGCCTTAAATCTATCTGAAAAAGCGCCAAAAGGCACAAAGTATGCTTTTGAAAATATGAAAGAAGTTTCCACATATTCATGAATATACTGAAATATAAAGTTCTATATGAATACTCTCCACTTCAAATTGTTTCAAATCCTTTAAAAACATGTTATGTCAAAAATAAAGTACCATGTAAAATTACGTGACATAAATTACTGATACATTCAGCCAACAAAAGAAACTATATTCTACACACACACACACACACACACACACACACAAATTTACTTTTTCCTTACCTGAATCAATACCAACTGGGCCAAATAATTCATTAAGTTGAAAAGCCAGCTCAGGGGGCAATGCCAACTCCAAACAGTCTATGGTGAGAGATTTGGCCATTGCTGGTGTGGGATTCAATACCTCAATTTTATCCTCTTCACTTACTCCTGCTGACAAACTAGCACCTGGCATTAGAATTTTCTCCATTTCCTGTCTATCTTCATTGATAAAGTCCTCCATGTTTGCAAATTTCACATAATCCTTAGGAAGATTTTCATTTTTTTGTACTTGCAGAGAGCCAGCAAGATAAACATCTTCATTTAGTTCAGGATTTGCAGTGCTTGTGGCAGAGTTTATAATGTCAGCTAAGTTTAACAAAGACTGACTATTCTCTCCAGTCTCTGTGGCTAACAGATTTTCCCCCACTCCATTTGCATCTTCAGGGATATTAGACTTTGGAGTAAGTGGAAGAGACAGTGTAGAGCTGTATGCACCTGGCAATTCAGCCCGACCGTCAGGAACTACTTCATGGTTACTCCTTACATTTACAGCAGCACGAGGGAATAGTCTGGTTATTAATTCAGGGTTTTCAGGATTTGCAGTTCTTAGCTCTTCCTGCTTTGAGTTCCCTTTTTCTGCATCACTAGCAGACTGTGCACTATTGTTGCTGATACCAAGCCCAGAACTAAATTCTGACACAGAAGAATTAGAATCTTCTGAGGTTCCTTTGTGGCTAATAATTTCCTTCAAATCCAACCCCATAGAAAATGGCCCAACTTGTGACTCATCATATGATTTGGGGGAACTCTCAACCTCAGCATCCTCACACAATTTAGTCTCAGAATCTAACAAAAGGCTTGTAGCCCAAATAATATCTTTATTACATCTTTCATATAAATCTTTCAGGGCTTCTAAAGAAAAGGATCCAAACAGTTTACAAAGGATGTTAAGATTTTCAGATTCATCAGCACTGGTAAGCTCACTTTCTTCAACATACGTACTTTTATCATGCATTACTCTATAAGGGATTGTTTCCTGAACATTTAATTTTGTATTAAGAGTGAAATCTTTTGGCCTAAACCCATCCAATTTTCCTGTCAACACTCTAACAGAATCTGAAACACTGACTTTATTCTTTTCTACTTTCCACAAGAGAGCAAAATCTTGGGGCTCAGTCTGGGTACAAGTGCCTGTATCTATTCCAGGAACAACTCCAGATATCCCCCCTGGAAATTCTGCTAGAGAACAGGGTCCCACTACTCCAGGAAGAGTTGCTGCACTACTGGAAAAGGGAAGAGGCAGGGTGTGCTGACTATGAATCGTTTTACCCAGGGAAGTCTGATCCTCAAGAGTTGTTTTACTAGGTAGCATTTCAGAACCTCGAATTGTGGAACCCAGCGTTTTCAGTTCTTCGGGGCTTGTGCCCCAATAGGCCTCATGTGCTGGGTATAAAGGTATTTTACCCATGCTGTCATTAGTTCCAAATTCTAAGTTGGGTTCACTGAAGCCAGCTTTTGGTAATCTTGATCTGTGCTCTCTCTGAGCTAAAGAAGCAGATGAGGGCCAGTCGCCCACAGCACTGAAGGAGGTTTGCTCAGTACTTCTGTAAGTATCATAGTGATAGCTACTGGGCACTTCTGAAAGAGCATCATTTCCATGTGGAGATCCTCGGTGCTGGATATGATCTGTATTCACAGGTACCCTCGTATCTAATACTTTGTGGGACTGAGGGCGATTATATTTTTTGTCACTTTGTACAGATAAACCTTTTTCAGTTTTCCGGTTCCTTTTGGTTCTCTGGCTAATTGTCTTATCAACTGGCCAGTCACCAACAAAATTTGATGGCTCCTGTTTTGGGAATTTTTCCAAAGATGATTTGCTTTTTTGTTTTCCAACAGTCTTTTTCTTTCCTGCTGTTCTTTCTTCCAGTATGTCAGGGGGCGAGGGGTTTTCCCGTTCCAGTGTGACTGCACTTGCAAGCTCACAAGCCTCTTGATTATCCTCAGGGCAGCGACTACCTGGTGCGGGGCTCCACACGTCTGCTTCTGAAGGCCCGTCCTCAGATGCTGTCATCTCTTGTTCTTTCTCACTCTGATCTGTGGCTTGCATTTTGCTTTCAGAGTTAGGAAAATAGGTGTTGGGAGCGTCCCGAAAGAAAGGGTCATGCACGCTGTGACTGGCATCACTTGCCTCCTTTCTTCCTCTGTTTAAGCTGGCAAGAGGGAGGACGGGAACACTTTCAGGTAACGCTGCTTCTTTGGCCACTTCAGGTGTCTTCTCTTCTGTTAACTTCGAAGATGCGGATAAGACATTTTCTTCTTTTTCAGAGGTAACAGTTTCATTTTTTCTTGGGCTACAAGACATTTTTGAAGTGTGGTAAGAAAGTCTCGTCACAGTTCCATTAATATTGTGATTTAAATTAAAGAAGCATGCAACCAAACACCACTTAGCATTTTTTCTAAATATTCAAAATTAAATTACACAAAAATTATAAAAGCTGGTATGGGGATGGATGTAAGTTAGTAGTACAGCTCAAAGACAGAGCACCAGCCCAACAAATGTGGGGCCTTGAGTTCAGCCCCCAGACTGCTGGAAGAAATAATGTGAGAGCTAATCTTAACTTGTCCCTAAAATACCACAAACACAATCCTTTACCCTAAGTCCAACAGCTGGCATCAAGCGAAGCATACACAAAGCACACTCTCAGAGCTAAGACAGTAACCCGCAGGTGTCAGCCACGTGCTACTTGCTGACTATTACAATGAAGGTTCTAAACGCACTCTAGGAGAGGTCACTACCTGGATGTCTTTCCTCTTACCCATAGCTAACTTAGCATATGTTACAGTAGTAGCTCTATGTTCATCTGCCATTTACTACAAAGAAAAGCTTTATTTAAAGCAGCATCTCTCAACCTGAGTTACAACCTCCTTGGGGGGTAGAAACTTTCACAGGAGTTGCCTAAGAACACTGGAAAACACAAATATTTACAAAAGATATGTAACAGCAGCAAAATCACAGTTATGAAGTAGAAACAAAATTTTGTGGTTGGGAGTCACCATAACATGAGGTGTATTAAAGGTCACAGGGTTAGGTAGGTTGAAAACCACCGATTTACAGGCTCACAAACGCAACATTATCAGAACATAGTCCATGACCAAAGCTATGAGAGACTTCTGAGAGCTTGTAAGAACAAATAAACAAGAGCCTTGTGCCCTCTGTTCCTCCAATACACGCGCTGTTCTTACAATGTGCGTTTGTGCCCCTCCTGGTGGGGTACACAGAAGTGGGTTTACTTCAGATGACCCCTCTTGTTACTATTAGTACTCAGATACTGTTTCTAAGAACAAGCTGTCTTCCTGACTGCACTCAGAAATGACTGCAGAATATAAACTACCTAATGCCCTAAATGATATTGGCTACTGCATGAGACTTCAGTCCACCTCACTTTTAGGCTCTGCTCTGCCAGGTTCAAGCTACCAACTAGAGCAGTAATACAACGTAATTTGCATAATTAAGAAAAACTAAAGAAGCCAGGTGTGGTGTTGCAGGTCTTTAATCCCAGACTCAGGAGGCAGAGGCAGGTGAATCTCCCTGAGTTCTAGGCCAACCTGGTCTACTAAGCAAGTTCCAGGACATCCAGGGCTACACAGTGAAAACCTGTCTTGATTTAAAATAAACTAAAGAAATAGGTTGGGTGGTAGGGGAGCTCTCATTTACGATGCTGTTTATTAATTTTCATTACTTTATGTTTTAAAATCATCCTGGATGGTAATTTCCAACTCACAGCATTACACTTTGAATTTCAACGATCTTTCCTTATTCAGTTTGTCAAGTCATCTTCCTTTATCTTAGGAATTCTCAAAATCTCAACTCTCCCATTAAACTTTCCCAAGTAAAAATCACACCTAGCATTAACTGAATTCTCTATGTGAAAATTGAAGAGTACATTCACTAAAACCTAGGGGGCGGGGAAGTAATGTGGATATATATAAAAACAACAGTGATACTGAAATAAAGGGAAAATCCTGAAATAAAAAAGACAAGTATATTTGTTGTATAATCACAGACTCATGAACCCGCAGCTCAAAGGAAAAAAGAAAAAAATTTCACATCTTCAGCTGACTCCAGGTAAAACTGTTCAAAGAAAAAAAAAAAATGTCTTTATTTTTAAGTTCATAAGCAGTGATTTCAAGTCTTCAAAGCTATCATTCAAAGCGAAACCATAGGTGATGCACTCTGACCCACCTCAAACCTCCGTCCTCACAGGCGTATGCACACAGCTCAGCCCGCTCGGCTCTCTCTGGGTCTGAAGAACTCATGATTATCGGCACAGACACAAAGCGCTGGTAGTGCTCCAGCATTCTTGCTATTTTCTCTTTGCTTACTCCATGGATATTACGCCTGAAAATTCCAGGGAAGAAAAAGGTCAGAAGAATGTTGGCAACCAAGAAGAAGAAGAAGAAGAAGAGGAAGAGGGAAAAAAAAGACATACAAATTGCAAGAGGATAGCATATTTATTGATTTTTTGATTCCACGCTGGGGACTGAAAGCCAAGTGTATGCAAGGTGAACAGGGTACCACTGGGCTATATCCCGAACACCATTAATAACACAGTTCTCTGTGTGATGATTTAATAGTAACACTTGCTTTTATATAGTACTTGCTATCAAATCCTAACTTCATTTTAGTCTCATTTTCTTTGGGGAGGCTCATTTTCATTTGTTTTAAGATGTGGTCTTGCTATGAAGCCTGGGCTGCTGACCTAAACTTGGGATCCTCCTGCCTCAGACTTTTGAGTGTTGGAATTATACCACCACACCGCACCTAGTGAGGCTCTCTTAAATTGCCATTTTATTAATCATCCTAACACAAATATTCCCAGATATGCTTTATAAGTTCAGGAAAAAAAAAAAAAAAGGTTTCAATAACCTGAAAGGAAGTTGATCTAAAGCTCTGAAAAAATATTTCATAAAACAATGACTGTCATTTCAAAGGTTTTAATTAAGTACTATGAGCAAAAAGAATCCCACTACAGTGACTGAGCAAATGTCCCGAAGTGCCTTCCTGTTATAATAAAAGCAGATCCCAGTTAAATTTAAATTAAAACAAACACATTTTATTACATTTTAAGTTCAAACAATATTTTTAAATTCTTAGCATATTAAGACTCTGGATGTCCAAATATGAAGTTTACTATTTTTGTTTCCAGTCTCACTCACTTTTCTGTGTTTGTAAATGAACCTGCAGTTAGTTAACACTAACATACGGAAATCCTTAAGTCTCAGATTGACGGTACTTTCTGGATTTGCACTGCCAAGAGGTAGGATGATATGCTTTAGGCCCTCTTGGGTTTATTTCTTAATGAAAATATCTCAGTTATAACTCTCTTAACTTTATCTGGATTCAAGGCTTTATATCTGCATTCCAGGGCTAAATAGTGCCTCTTGGGTAAATCTGGCTTTCATATTTACCTACCTCGATCTTGTCTGGTTTCATATCACAGAGAAGCAAAGAGATAGAAAATATGAGAGAGGTTAAGAAACATAGACATAGAGGCCAGAACAAAAAAAAGGTCTAGTATACCACTGATTCAAGTCTGAGAAGAGAAGACAGGGATGGGGCAAAAGCAGTTTAAAGATAAATGCTGAGAATTTTCTAGAACTGATGAATGACACACATGTCCTGATTTCAGGAGTCAAACAAGATAACAGTGTAAGAAATCCGTAACTAGAAACATATGCTAAAACTGTCACTCACTAAAGAAAAATGAGATGACATTAAGCCAGAGATCATAAAAAAAGGCTAGTCATATCGACAAAACAAATGAGTAGAATGTGAAGACTTAGCAACAGTAATAGAAATAAAACATAAATGTCATTTTCAACAACAGAAACTAGCTGATATCCCAGAATAAATGCAATGTCTTGTAAGAATAAAGATGATAAAAAGTTTCAAATGAAAATTTAAAAGGAAACAGAGTTTCACACAAACAGACCCTCATTGTAAAGAAAAAGTTTAAATGTAACACCAGGCAGACAAACTCTCAGATTAAAGACAGGTATGTGCTGCAATGGGAAAATGAAGCATAAAGAAAACAACTGAGCAAAGCAAACGCTTGTGTACAAATTACATAATGATTCATGTACATTAATGAGGTACTATCACAGGTATTTTAAAGTCCTTGTATTTGTGAGGAGGAAGGCTAAGAGAAATGGTTTAATTTGACAATTAAATTTCATCCAAAATTTCTAAAACATGATGAAAGAAAACTTTACATATATATTTATAATAACAACAATCACAGAAGCCAGGCATGGTGGCACATGACTTTAATCCAGCACTCAGGAGGCAGAAGCAGGTGGATCTCTGTGAGTTTGAGGACAGCCTGATCTACAGAGTGAGTTCCAGGTCAGCCATGGCTACATAGTAAGACCTTGTCTCAAAACAAAACAAACAACCCAACAATAATCATAGACAAGGTAAAATAAGCAGAAAATACAGCGAGACGTTAAGAAAGTGGCCAACTGCATGAATAACAAAAAACCATAAAAGAACTGTTTCATGATTTGAAGCCAAGATGGGACTGAGCACTATGGCATTTGCCTGAAATCTTAACACTTGAGAGTTGGAGGCAGGAGGATCAGGAGGTCCAAGGCTAGCCTGGGCTACCCTTGCTCCCCACCCCCCCACCTGACACACACAAGAAAAAGCCAAGGTAGAGAAACCCGTCATAGTAGGCACAATTAAGTACATAAACAATAAGAACATTAAAGGCTCAAAGTAAAAGTATAAAAGGAGAAAAATTCGCAAATAGTAACTAAAAGAATGCTGGTATAGTTCTTCTAATTAAACAAACCAGACTTCACAGCAAACACTATTCTTAAAGACAAAATAAAAATCATTAGGAAGGGAGGAAGCGCAATTAAGGTAACATCAAAAAACAATAAGCTCTTAAGAATTTCAACAACTACCCTCCAAATATATAAAGTAAACACAGTTGAGAAGACAGAGAAACTGACAGGCAATATAACAGAGGGATTTATGCACTATTGGAAGAATTCATCATCCTTCTCCAAAAAATGAACCCACAAGACTAGCCGCAAGAAAAGAAAGCACAGAACGCTATACAACATACTGGGCAGCCCAACTGCGGAGTATTTCTAGAGAGCATATGAACACAACGTAACCAGTACACGGTTGGGTTTCGTATGCATGTGTGTTGTATGAGCGTACACATGCCACAGCATGCATGTGGAGATCAGAGGACAACTGGCAGGAACTGGTTCTCTTCTTCCACTATGTAAGCCTGGGAATCAAACTCAAGTCTTCAAAGCTTGACGGCAGGTGCCTTGCCTACTGAACCCTCTTCAAGACCCCAATACACACGCTCATTAATCAAGGATGGAACATGTAACAAGTAGGGATGGCTGTGGTTACACAGCCTCAAACCCCAGCACTCAGGAGGCCACGACAGGCAGATCTCTACAGCTCCAGAACTGCACAGTGAGATACTAAAGGGAAAGAAAATGACAACCGTCACACGTGTGGTCTACCGCAGACGAACTGAAAATCCAGAAGAAAAACACCCACTGGCTTGGAGATTTTAAAGCACAGTTCAGTAACCCACGAGCTACAGGGTAACATTTAATTATAGTGCAACTTTAAAAACAAGCACGCAAAAGGAAGCACTGTACAATAAACCATGAGGCAAATAAAGCAGCCAAGAGCATCAAAGGCTCATATTATAAAAAAGATCTATCTACAACTTTAAGACTTAAAAAAACAGAAGTAAGCAAAATAGACACTTTAAAGCAAAGAAGTAAAATAAGAAAATCATAACTGAATTAAACAAAACAGCATACAACAGAAAAGAAAGTCAACCAGGTGAAGTGCTATTATGAGGGCCACTTTGAAGGAAAAAAAAGCAAAACAAAGAACAGACCACTACTGAGAATAATGAGAAGGAGGAACACACTGCGAACAAATCAAGACTGAAGAGAGACCTCGACTGCTTATGCTGCAGAGATGCAAACACTGGAGGAGTAAAACTGCACTGAAGTCTTAACTTGGTATGATGGGGAAATTCCAACTGAGAGAAAATACTTCTCTATCAGTTTATGATACCAAAATCAGACAGGGTAGGTCAAGGAGGGGAAAACTGTTTATTAACCCCACTCATCTACACAGATACAAAAATTCCAAACACAATATAGGAAACCAGATCCTGTAACATATGAAAAGACAATAAAAAGAAATTGAGTATGACATTCTGCAACACAGATAAACCTTGAAAACATTTTCAGTGCAAGATGCCAGACAAAAAGAGTCCACGTATTCTCTGTATATACTCTGTCTAAGACAGGAAAAACTTCTAGAGAGGAAACACAGCATGGGCTGCCAGAGAGGGAGGAACTGCTGAGTATGACTTCTTTGTGAAAAAAAATGAAAATGTTTCAGAATTAGACAGTGACAATGGTCATACAAAACTATGACTATATTAATCAGACTGACTGTCCTTCAATTTGTATTGAATTAGTTGAAATCATTACAAAGAAACTATCCTAAAATTAAGTTAAATTTTCTAAATGAATATGGAGTGCAAAGGAAAAAACAATGCATGTCCATCTCTTTAAAATAGCATTTTTAAATTCAGACAAGCAACCAAATAAAGAATAAGGGTAGGAGACTTAACTATCTGCAATGTTTTTCCCATCACTACCTCCCTCCCACTTTCTAGTATTCTAGAAGCTACATGTCCTTCCCAACAGGACACCCATAGCTCAAGGGTACCAACTTCCAAGGTCTTTTCTAGTTTTAGATATTAGCATATTATTACAAGGCCACACACAAGTGACAACACTGGACAACTGGAAATTTCTTCAGTAATTATTATCAAAACATAAATCCCAACTCTTCATAAAAGTAGGGATAAGGGACATCAAGATGGCTGATTAGGCACAGGCGCCAGCATGAAGGCTTGATGATAGGAGTTTTTCCCTGGAGCAGGAGAGAACTAATGCCAGAGAGTCCACCTCTGACCTTCACAAGTGACATAACAAATGGGAACCTGCACTCATTCATAGATACGCATGCATATACACATAAGAGAATATTTTACAATAACATTTTAGAACATTCACAATATAAAACATCATCGATTTTTAAGTGGACAAGCCAAAATCTAATCGGTTTTGTCTCATTCATCATTTGTAAAGGAAAAAAGAAAATGTAGATAAACGTTGAGCCACTGTTGTGAAATAAAAGCTATGCCAGAAAACCTCCAAGTTTTACCTTGCAAGCTCCTTTGGTTTGAATTTCCACCATGTGTCTGGTTCCCGGAAAAGGACCTTATATTTATGCTTTTGAGACTATATACAGAAAAGACAAAAAAAAAAAAATGTAAATAAATTTTCCATTAGGTTAAGTGCAATGTTTACAGACTATTAGATTAGAAACAAAAGACCCTCCACAGGTTATCCAGTCAGCAGGCTGGACTGAGCAAGCACCTGCTCTCAGCACTCTCTTAAATGAACAGCAAGAGCCTCTGGAAAGGTCTGCTGCTGCTGCTGTAGTCTGGAGGAAGTTTGTTTGAGATAAAGCCTCAAGCAGCCTAGATTAGCCTTGAACTTGCTTTGTAGAAAAACTGGAATTACAAGCATGCATCACTGTATGGGACTCTTACTGAACGGGTCTGTCTCCTGTGAGAAACACTGCCAAGCTGAGGAAGGGGACACATGCCTTTTGTAAGATAGGAGATTCTAGACAAAGAAAGAGCAGGAAGCAGGGCACACTGGGGTCTGGAACCAGCTCCTACTTTCTTTTACTTTGCTGCTAATTCTTTTTTCTTAGCTTTGCTAAGAAAAAATTTGTTCTCTGATGTTTATCAGAGAACACAAACACAAACACAAACAAGGAATCCTCTTCCTAGGCTTCCAGCCCCAGACTACCCTAGAAGACTGAAGTGGGCCAGATATTGGAATAAACTACAATGGGGAAGAAAAACAATTTTACATAATCTCTTTGACCCATTAATTTACTTCCAAAACTTTGTTACTAATAGTTGTATAAAGACAACAAATATACATGAATACAAGTAAATGGTAAGATATTCAATTCACTATTTGTAATAGCAAAAGAACAGAAATGGTCAGACTACTAATATGAATTTATCTAATAAATGAGAACATAATATAAAATAAAACCTTTTTTTTTTTTCGGGACAGGATTTCTCTGTGTAGCCCTAGTTGTCCTGGAACTCACTCTATAGACCAGGCTGGCCTTGAACTCAGAGATTCACCTGCCTCTGGCTCCCAAGTGCATGCACCACCACTGACCAGCTCAAAGATTTATTTATTCATATCTTTTATGTATGTGAGTGCTCTGTCTTCATGCATACCAGAAAAGGGAATCAGAGCCCATTACAGACAGGACCTCTGGGAAGAGCAGACAGTGCTCTTAACTGCTGAGCCACCTCTCCATCTCCCCAAAATATCATTTTTAAGAATTCTATATTAAATGAGACAATGAGAGAACGAGAAATAGCTTTTAAAATAAACTTATGAGAAAGTTAGCAAACAATTTTCACATGGGAAAAAATTATTCACATATCTATATATACACAGAGCACCTCTGGAAAGATTCTTAAAAAATATATAGGCATTGCTTTAAAGTTTAGATTATTCATCAAATATGCACGTTCCAAAGAAACCAGAACTAATCTCACTCAGCACTTCTCGCAGGACCCTCTACCCTAAGCTGCTCCAAGCCAGAGGCTGGGCTTCACTTCTGAGTCCTAGGTAACACGGCCATTTTAGCTATGCCCCTCTTGGCTCCCATGCACTGTTTTGGTCCTCTTGGACCCCTTTTCTTTCTCTCTACTCTTCCTCTCTCTCCTCTGTGACCCTTGTCTATTCTACTGGCCATGTTCAGTCTGGATTCTCCCAGATGCCTTGGGCTGTTCTCTCTCTATCTACACAAAAACTTCTCCTTAATCATTCCTAGGAAGCAGTCATGTCCTCATTTTCATTCAATGCATATAATTTAAAATTTATACTTTAAAATTTAAATTTGTAATTTTCCTGTTGCCAGCCACTGCTTAGTCCATGTTTAAAAGCTCTAGTGTAGTACAGTCCAGTCATCAACCACTGCACTTTTACACTGTACCTAGTCCTTCCTCAGGAATAAATGACTGGGGCACTTCCCTCTCGACATCATGCATCTTTCTCTTCCTTTCAATTAATTTCATAATATGTAAATACCATCCATTTATTTGTCCCATCATATTCTACTTTCCATGTGCCAGCTATTTACTGGATCCCTTTTGTTTAAAAATAAAAACGACAAAAAAAAAAAATGGGCTGGAGAGATGGCTCAGAGGTTGAGAGCACTGACTGCTCTTCCAGGTCCTGAGTTCAATTCCCAGCAACCACATGGTGGTTCACAACCATCTATAATGGGATCTGGTGTCCTCTTCTGGTATTCAAGCACACATGCAGACAGAACAATGTATACATAATAAATAAAAATAAAATCTTAAAAAAAAAAAAAAAAAACAAAACAGTTCACCAGAGGGTGGCAGAGTACACCTTTAATCCCAGCATCCAGAGGCAGAGGCAGGCAGACCTCTGTGAATTCAAGGCTAACCTGGTCTACAGAGTGAGTTACAAGACAGCCAAGGCTACACAATAGAATACTGACGAGAAAAACCAACATGATGATGTCGTCCCCAGCCAGTGGTGCACACCCTTAGTCCCAGCATTCAGGAGGCAGAGGCAGATGAATCTCTCTTACCTGCTCCTCAGCAGCATCTGACACAGGCATGGCTCCCTTTCCCCTCCTCTTTCTTCATTATGCACACTTGTGTTTGCCCCCATCCAAGCAAGTAGGCAGTCTCCTCGGGTTGTTTCTTTCTTTGTTTTGTAATGCTAGCTAGACCTTCCTTTTCATCCATACCTATGCTCAAAATGCAGAGTTTGAGACTTTGTCTTTGATCTACGACTTCTGGACTAGCCTCATCCCATTTTATGCAAGTCTATATGAAGAAATAAATGAGTTTGATACTCTGTGAGAAGCAGGAGCCTCTTACATACATTTGAGTACAGTTAGGAAGAGCCAAGAAAACAATACTAGAAAAGCAGTTTTATATTTTCAATAACATAAGAAAAAAAAAAAAAACTTGGGTATAACAGAGCATACCTGTAATTCCAGCACTCAAGATGCTAAAATAGACAAAACAGATCAAAAGTTCAAGGCCAGCCTGGGTTATGAAGTGATACCCTAACTTTAAAAAAAAAAAAATTACAGAGGACAAGAGTTGGACATCAGAAACAAAGCAACTGGAACTCTTTCTTTTCTACTGAAGAAAATAAAGTAGTGGGCCTGGCTTAGCAGTTAAGAGAATTGGCTGTTTGCAGGGGACTTTGGCTCAAATCAGTACCCACACGGTGGCTCACAATCACTTGCAATTCCAGTGCCATGGGATCCAAGACCCTCTTCTGGCCTCTGTGGGCTGCTGCGCGCAGATGATGTATGTGAACTTATACAAACACACACAAAGACACATGAAAATAAGTAAATAAGAAAAGGCAGCATCACAACACTCTCTAAGAGAACAGAAAACATGGAAAGACTACAGGACCCACAGAACCTACCCCAATGCTGAAGATTTTAGTTGACAGTTAGAAAGCAAAGCATTTTTCAGTCCAATGAACTAAAATCAAATCTACTGCATCTGTAGTAAAATACATTTTGGGACAAATCTCTCTATGTAGCCCTGGCTGTCCTGGAACTCCCTATGTTGACCAGTCTGGCCTTGAACTCACAGAGATTCACCTGCATCTGCCTCCCTAGCTCTGGAAGTAAAGTTGTGCAGCACCATGCACAATTTTCAAAAGACACATTTTTCCCCCCAGAAAGGTGAGGAATTATACTTAAAAAAATAGTTTAAGTGCACTAAATGTGATGGCTAGCATTAAGTTTTAAGTTTAAATTACTATGCTTAAGAGATCTTTAAACAAAAAAAATGCCTCTAATCTACAAGCCCCACTTGCCCAAGAACAGATCACTTCCTGGCTGTTCATGTAAGATAACAAACCATGTGTTTTTGCTCCTGTAAACAAGCTTGGTTGCCCCAATTGCACAGGAAGTATGCCAGGATGTGTGCTCGTCTCTGACTGCATGAAGGCAGGAAGTACAAAGTCTTGTGAGTTTTGCCTTTATAAGGCCCCATCTAATGTAATCTGGACCCATACTCTGAGTGTGAGGCCTCGGGTATGGACATGGTCAGTATCCATGGTCCCAACCAAAAGCCTCTTTTTTGTTAAAACTTACTGTGAGAGTGGTAAATCTGACCCCAGGCCTGCAACATTAATAAAACAAATGACATAAACAACAGCCTGGATGTGTTAAGGCCATAAAGAACTCTAATATGCATTTGACTAAGGAATGCATAAATTCTTTCTTAGTTGAGGTATCTGCAAGGTATGTGCTAACAGTGAAGGACTACACCACACCAACCAACCAACCAACCAAACAAACAATAACAACAACAACAACAAAAACCAAACTATCATAAATGCCTCACTTAACAGATCTGGTCAATAAAGTTACTATATATCAAGCACAGTGATACTCCCAGAAGATTCAATGGTAGATAAAACAAAGAGTCCTGCAACTCAAGAATATCTATTCAGCTTAAGACCAAATACAGCCCAACAGCCAGTGCGGATACAGCCTGGAAACTAAAAATAGTTTTTATATAAAGAAAGAAAAAAGGAGAGGAAAGGAGAGTACTGGGAGGTGGGGAGGGAGTTAACATTTGAACATCGTAATTTCAAAGCTGAGTAAACGTAGCTTTATGGAAAAGCTCAGCCATATTGGTTGTCTTATTCTTCTCATTTCACTGAAGACCAGAAAAAATGCAATTCAAGGTAAACCAAAACATTCTCAAATGTGCCTGATTCACTTGTGAAACAGACATGCCCTCAATGGCTCCAAACTCAGTATTATACTTATATAAACTTATGGTACAGACCAAAGCAACATATGGCTTCATCTCCCATGCTTGGAGGTTTGTGTTATCTATGATTATTGGCGACACCTTCTTCTCAAATGCTTCTTTTGCTGAAAAACAACACAAAAGGACATCCTTTTACTAATATTAAATATAGGGTAGGCATGGTAGTGAAAAACTAGGAGTTAGGCTCCCTGGCAGGCAGACAGACAGAAAGAGGGGCCACAGCTAGGTAATAAATGTGTAAATTTTCCAAGATGGCCAGCTTCTACCTCACACTACTGACTGGAGACAAAGCCTGGCAGCTTAAAATAAAGGCCTCCTAGGTATTTTGCTTCCCACTAGGGGGCCCTCCTGATGGACTGGATAAACAAGGTCAAGGACTGCTCAGGACCTGTTGTCACACAACAGTTTTGGACTAATCAACCATCCTGTCTATCTTCAAACTGACCAACCCTAAATTAGAAGGGAAAAACTCTTCTGAGGCCTTAAAAATCCCAGCCTTGGAGAAGAGACTGGATTCTTTGGTTTCCAGTGCCCTTCTCTGCTTTGCAGGGGATCTTTTCTCTGTGCCTGTTGGTGCCTGTGTGTGTGTGTGTGTGTGTGTATGTTTCCTCACCCCCAGTAAACATCTTGTTTCAACTGAAGGGCTTCAGAACTCTTTGCTGCTACCTGTCCTGCTTTAGATTTCACTACCTTTTAATTCTTTAAGTGGCAGAAAAAAAAAAATGAATCTAACCAAGATCCCTAGACTTTATCAGTGGAAAGTTCCAGGATGTCTAGAGCTACACAGCAGAGAGATCCTGCCTCAAATAATAACAATAATATTAATTATTATCTTCATTTCACAGTTGCTACAACTGTGAAACTTTTACACATTATTGGACCACAAAATCTCACTTTGTTGTTGGTGGTGCTAGTGGCAAGTGTGAGTGTGTCGAAAGATGCGTATGTGGTCTGTGGAGGATGCAGGTGGGTGTGCAGGGACGCATCCAGGCACTCACAGGGAAGCCAGAGCAAGACTTTGGGTGTCCTCCTCTACTGTTCTTACTAACTCGAGAGAGATTGCCTCACACATTTCAGTCGGGGAGGGGCTCAACCAAGTTTAGAAGGAAGGAAGAAGGAAGGGATGGGGGAGGAAAGAAATGAAGAAGGGAAGGAAGATGGATGCTGGAACCAATCTAAGAAAGATCAGCATTTAACAAGGCAAGTTCCACCTCAGAAATGGGAACAGGGAGGATGAAGAAAAAGGACAGAAGTTTAAAACCAGCCTGGCCTCTTAGCAAGACTCTGTCCTGAATCAAAGGATAATGACACAAAGAGAAGTGAGGAAGAAAGACGACAGGACAGAGAGAAGGGAAATGAGACGAGAGGAGAAGGAGGAAGAAAAAAACTAAACACTGTCATAGAACATTCCAATCCTCTTACAAAAATTACCTTTAAAAATGTTTTATTACTTTATGGAAGGGGATAAAGAGAGGGAGCTCTCTCTCTCTCTCTCTCTCTCTCTCTCTCTCTCTGAGGGGGATTCGAGTGAATGTGAGGTGGTCAACATCAAATGTCTTTTTTGTTGTTTTTGTTTGAACTAGGATCTCACTATGCGGCCCTGGCTGCCCTGGAGCTCTCTATGTAGACTAAGCTAGACTCAAACTCACAGAGATCAACCTGCTTCTGCCTCCCAGTGCTAGTGCTGGGATTAACAGCATGTGCTACCTTGCCTGACTTAGGTGTTTTCCTTAACAGCCCTACCTTACTTTTGAGGCAGGGTCTCTCAATAAACCTAGAACTGACCAATTTGGCTACACTGCTGGCCAATAAAACCCAGGGACCTTCCTTGTCTCTGTCCCCTCGGAACTAAGATCATAAACACACACTGCCATGTCTGATTTTTTATGTGGGTACTGGGTATTGGACATATGGCCCTGTGCCCCAAAATTTAACTTTTAATTCTCACGTCTTACTGTGTAGCATAAGAATTACGATTTTGGGGTTTTTTTTGTTTTTGTTTTTTAATGAAACATGGTATCTATATAGTCCTGGCTGTGATGGACCTCTCTCAGAAGATTAGGCTAACCTCGAACCAGACTGAATATGCCAATCTCTGCTTCCTGAGTACTGGGATTATCCTGGCTTTTTTTTAATTACACATTCTTAAGGGCTAGGATTAGTTATAGCTCGGTGGCAGCACACTCATGTGGCATGTATAAGTACCACAAAATATAAGTAAACTAAGTTCTTTAAAGTGCTATGTCTCTCAACAAACAAATACTAAAGAAAGCTTTCTCTCTATACAACTGTTAATGTCACGCAGACCCTCACAGCTGTTCTCACCTCGATTCTGGTTCCACTCGTGGGCTTCTCCCAAGTACTTCACATCAAATTGGTATTGTCCATTTATATAGAAATAATCATCAGTACTAAGAATGACCCCACTTGGGTTATCCTCTTGCAAAGTCCTATGAATAACAAAAGGAATAATTTTTTTTCCAAAGTTCTCTCTTCTTTTGTAGTCATAATTCAAGTAAAAATTCAAGTAATAGTATTTAAAGGAGCAATAAAATTCAAACTGAAAATTCTCTAAGCAAAAAGTTCAACTCTTCAAAAAAAAAAAAAAAACTAATCCAAAATAAGTCTATACTGCTTTACACAAATTATTCAGAAATATGATATTTTGTTTTACGGAAAGTCTCATGCAGCCAAGGATAGAGTGTATCCTCAGTCTTCCAGTCTTCAATCTCAAGTGCAGAGATTACAGACATGACCACCATCCCTGGTGCTCTTTTCCTTTTAAACATGCATATATCTGAGCTATCTTTAAAGAAAATTATAAGCACAGGCTGGTAAGATGGTTAATGCACAAGTGTATTTGTCATGCAAGCATTGAATGCTTAGATCCCCAGGACCTATGTAAAAATACTGCATGGGTATGGCAGCCCACCAGTAATTCCAGTGCTTGAAAGATAGACAGGAGACTACAAATTTGTATATATCTTTTAAAAGATATCCATTCATGACCTTTCCAATAAATCAAAAAACCTTGTTTTTACATAAGATTTTCCTCATGTCACAAGGTAATTTAATGTCATGGACCATACTCTCTGAGAAAACTCAGCTCGAGTTTATATTACCTCATGTATTTTTATCAAAAATATAACTCCTATTTTGTGGCAAAAACTTCTGTTCCCCCTCTCAAAACTGCATTTGACTTTTAACTTTAAGGCCCCTGAAACCTAGCTCTAAAAATCTACTACCTTTTAAAATCTATTACCTTTTAAAGCACTGCTTTCATTCCCACTAATTTCACAATCACAACTGCTGTAATGTAAATTATTTTATGTTGCTATTACTGGGGCTAGAGATGTAGCTCAGCTGGTAGAATGCTATTCTACCATGCACAGGGTCCTGGGTTTGATCCCCATTTCCACATAATGATGGCACACATCTGTAATCCCAGCATTTGAGGGTTTATAGGCAGGAGATACAAAAATGCATGACCTTGGTTGCATTGTGAGTTTGAGAACAGATTGGCATACAAGACCTTCTATCTCAAAACAGACAAGACACACACACACACACACACACAGCTAAATCAAAATGAAAAGCCTATGGCAAATAAATACATCTTAAAATTTAATTGCCACGGCCTCTGGAGAGAAACTAAGGCAGCAAATATTCTCAAAGAATATCCTTGAAGCCATCCATAATCACAAGGATACTTCTGACCCTGATTCTCTCCTCCCACATCAAAGCACTAACAATCTACTTGGCATGAAAACACACGCAAGAGAACTGCATTTTTCAACAAAGCTTTGGGCCAGGAGTAACAGTACACACCTTTAGTGCCCACATTCTGGAAGCAGGAAGAACTGCCAGCCTGGTCTATAAAGTAAGATCCAGGCTAGCCAGGTTACACAGAGAGACCATGTCTCAAAACATCAAAAATAAATAGTCTGCAATCCCTGAGTTCTGTAATTACTACTATTCACCTCTCTTCCTTACAATCATGTTTCCTTTGTTTTCTGTGGTTTGAGGCAAGATTTCTCTGTGTAGCCCTGGCTGTCCTGGAACTTGTTCTGTTCCAGGTTGGTCTTGAACCCTAAGATCTGCCTCTCTCTACCTTCCCAGTGCTGGTACTAAAGACATACATGCCCAATTTAAAATCATGCTTCTAAAAGCACTATTTAACAACATCCTATAATCCTCAATTTCTAGTCATCAGTGGAATTCATGTATTCACTACTTTCTTTTCCTGAATTCTAAAATCAACTGTGGATCTTTTGTTTTGATTTTTCTTATTTTTTAAGTCTGGTTTCTTTTCACATTCCATAAAAAAGTTAAACTCATGTTTCTCCTAATCAAATTAGCTCTCATACACAGAAAAGTATTTCAGAGTCTCAGTATCTTGAAACTGTATTTTTTTTCTTCTGTCAAAGATATCTGAGAAAAAGATTTCAATAAAAACTTTTAAAGAGGGGGCTGGAGAGATGGCTCAGTGGAGAAGAGCACTCACTGACTGCTCCTCCAGAGGTTCTGAGTTCAATTCTTAGCAACTACATGGTGGCTCACAACTATCAATACTGGAATCTGGTATGCTCTTCTGGCATGCAGGTACAAATGCAAATAAAATATTTTATTTTCTCTAAAATAACTTTTAGAGAAAAGAGTATTATCTTAAAAGAAAAAAATCGTAAAAAAAATATACTTAAAGGTGTTCCGTATAGTCACATTAGCTGTACAAATCCATGCACTCTACTTTCTAAAAAATGCCAATGAAACGTCTTCCTACCTTGCCAGAAAGGATTTCCCTGAGCCCGGCAGCCCTCTGAGAAGAACAAGAACTAAGCCAACGTAAGACGTGGTCTTCTTCCTGGCAGGCTGAGATGCTGGGGCCTCCTGCACCTGATAAGCACTTGTTCCCTCACTGCTTCTCCATACTTTTGTTGGAGAAGTGTGGGAGATGATAGAGGGCGGAAACGTGTAGTTGACAGGTCTCCAGTGTGCAGCTGTGGTTACAACAGGTGCTACAAAGCCATGGTTTCCTTGAAAGAGGTCAAAAGCAGGAATCATTGGGTTCCAAATTGGTGGAGGTGGTGGGGGAGGGAGGAGTAAAGGGAGAGGGGTAAGAACTGGGCAGTAATTCATATCCTTCCCCTTGGGTGGCAGTTCAGGATGCTTGTGTGGCTTGAAACTGAACCCTTCAGAGGGTACAAAAACGTCAGGTACAGAAGCAGATTTCTGATCCCCATCTGTACCTGGTAAATTAGGCCCTGAATTGTGCAGAGGAAGATTTACAGGAACCTGAGGTTCACTGGTACCCAAATCTACAAGGGCTTGAGAATGCTGTACACTAGGACACTCGGATTCTAAAGGATCTTTCTGCCTTTGGCTGAAACTGCCACAACCCGCAACGGAGTCACTTGTTGGAGTTACAGAGCTGCTGGGAGGAGACTCTTCGGGGCAGCTGCCTTCCGATGCCAGTGTGCCACCCTTAGTAATACTTTCAGGTTCATTCAAAACTGAACGTGAAATCAGTGGGCTTGAACCTAGAGAAGAAGCAGGATTCTTGAGAATTTCACTGTTTGAGCCCGTATTTTGTATGGAAGGAATAGAAGTCATACCACTTGAATCTGAATTCATAAAGGTAGAAGGGTCATTAAAACTATTAGCATCTTGCAAAGGCAAAAATGAATATACTTGGTCATCGGGAGAAGAGTTCAATTTCTCAAAAGCATTCTGTATTAAGGAATCCAAGTCTTCAGTTAGCTGCATATCCAAAAATGAATCCAGTTTTGAATCTTCACTCTCCGCTTCAGGAGGACTCGTCTCCATCACTGCACTCCCTGACACACCTGGCTTGTTCTCACAAGCAACAGAACTTTGTGAAGATGATTCTTCCATCTTGGCATCAGTAGCAGATAATTCTAATAGGCAATCCATGGCATTTTCAACTGTACGAGAACAATAACAGTAACAACAACAACAAAAGTCTATAGGCATTGAAAATATATCAGAATACCAGTCATCTTTGAAAAATTAACACTACTCTAACACATCAAGATCTTCATTAGAGAAGGGTCTACGATGGAGCCACGGGACGGTGCTCTTTCCAATTGTAATAAAATAAATATTAGTCATTTGTAAAGATTCTCAGGTCAGTTGATCCACTCAACAGCTATTTATCTATTGAATGTCCTAAACTTATTTTACACAGTCCACGCTATGTATTTAACATAAATAATACATGAATCAGAAATACTTCATACGAAAATGAAGACAAAATTTTAATACAAAAGAGTCTATAAAGTTTAAACTAAATGCATTAAAATATAATTACATCATAGTATAAATCAAATAACGTATACTCTTTAATAATGTACAAATGCTATTAGTACTAGAAGAGTAAGGAAAGATTTCACATAAAGTAATGTATCATCTGGCACTTAAAAGATTAAAAATCAAATTGCCAAACAGGATAAAAGTTAAAGCTAAGCTTGAGAATACAAAATTGCCTTTGGTCCCAGCACTTGAGAGGCAAAAGCACGTAAATCTCTGTGAGTTCAAAGCCAGCTTTGCTATATAGTAAGATCCAGAGCTATATGGTGAGACCCTTTTTCAAGAAAAAAGAAAGGAAGGAAGGAAAAAAGAAATTATAAAACCTGTTTAAAGAAAGCTGGTTGGAGAGTTAGCTCATAGGGATCTGTGCAATGGATAAAGAAGGAAGAAAAAACTGGAGGAGACTGAGTGAAATTGAGAGGGATCCAGTATGTCACACTTTGTTTTCTAAGGGAATGTAAAGGAGATACCAGTCACAGCACTGGGCTTGGGGCATTATATAGATCACCTCACTGAATCCTAAATAATACTATAATATCTATCATCCTAGAAAACAGAAAAGAAAATGAAGCTCAAAAAAGTATACAAAGTGAACCCAAGACACACAGTGACAGAGCCAGGGCTGGCATGGCTGCCTTCAATGCTGAGCCACTAAGTTTTCAAACATGCAAGAGGCGAGAGCTAGGGAGGTTGCTCAGTGCAGAGAGCCTGGCTAGCATGCTTGAGGCCTGGGATTGACAAAAGGCACAAGAAAAGAAAGTAATTTTTAAGTATTTAAAATTTGAAAGCCTTTTTTAAATTTTTATTTGTTTTCTAGTGTTTTGTCTTAAGGAAGATAAATACGGAGGGTGGGGGGAGGAAGCACAGCACTGTAGGACACAGCTCTGTTCCAGTGTCAAAACACCATAATTTAAATATCTATTAGCATGGCTGCAGAGATGGCTTAGCAGTTAAGACCACTGGCTGCTCTTCAGAGATCCTGAGTTCAAGTCCCAAAAACCACATGAAGGCTTACAACCATCTATAATGGGGGGTCTGATGCCCTCTTCTGGCGTGCAGATATATATGCAGGCGGAGCACTCATAGATTAAATACATAAATAAATAAAATTTTAAAAAAGAATAAAATTAATTAAATATCTACTTGCTTGATAGGATACTTCAAACAAGTTAGCTAACTTCCCTAAGCTAACTTTTTTTTTCTGTAATATGGGGATAATAAAAGTACCTACCTCATAGATTGTTGTGAGGATTAAATGAGATAATCCATGAAAAGTGCTGTGTACAAGAACTGGCACCTAGTAAGCACCCAGTTAATGTTGCCTTAAGAGAGAGAGAAAAAAAAGAGGATTGGAGGGGCAAGCCTAGCAGAGCAGTCAGTTAAGAGTACAGAGCACAACTACAAAGGCAAGAAACCCTAAATGCTGACACAGGGTACAGGGAAAAAAGTAAAAAGAAGAAGAAGAAAGAAGAAAGAAGAAAGAAGAAAGGAAGAAGAAAGGAAGAAGAAAGGAAGAAGGAAGAAGGAAGAAGGAGAAGAAGGAGGAGGAGGAGGAGGAGGAGGAGGAGGAGGAGGAGGAGGAGGAGGAAAGCCTACATGGTAGAAAACCAAAAAAGCGGTGTACAGTAAAACACCAAAACACGAAGGTAATTATCACTAGAAAGAAATATTAAACGGGTTGTTAGAAAAAATTAAAACTATGACACAAAAACAACCTTAAATATTAAATAATTTATAAATATGAGAAAAACTCAAACATTAAAAAATGTTCAAAATTATTCTTTATTTTAAAAAGTTGAGAAAAAGTACAATTTTATTGCTATTAAAATCTTATTTATTCACAATTCTGAGATAGTTATGTGGTACTACAAACTAGCATACTTCCCTGGTAGGTAATTTATTGGTGTATTTTCAAGTTCAGACAAACTATTCTTAATTTGTGCTGCAGGAAGGAAAGCTTTGGGACTAAGAAGAAAAGAAGAAGAAAAAAAAGGCTACTTCCTCTGAAATGTTCTTTGTAATAATGTTATACATGATAAACTTAGATAGAAATAAATAAATTAGAATACAACTCACTGGAGCACTAGAAAACCACCAAAGAGAAACAGCTAAAGCTTGTTATAAAGAGAAATGTGCAAAAGCAGTGAAAACGTTTCCACTGTATTAAGTTTTAAAAAGCAGAATATATGCTTTTTTAGTGCCATCAATGTTATTATTCAAACTACTCATAACATCAAGTATTTACAAAGAAGGTCTACAGAAGATCCTGAAAAAGAGAAATAAGTTTGTTAGGACATATGACTATAATTAACCACTATTTTAAACATGTATGTTCAATAAATATAATCTAAAGACAAAATCAAGAAATAAGTATATGGGTCACTTACAGCACGCCACTGCTGTTGCTCTCAGCACCCAGTGCAGTACTGAAACTTGGGTTTGTGCAAATCATGACAGGATGAAATGCTCACATCGCAGCTCACACAATGACTGAGACTGTAAATTTACCAGGCTTTACCAAGATCTTCAAATCCAGAATGATTTTAGCTTATAAAAACTATAACCAAAGACTATATTAACCTGGCAATAATCTGTCCAGAAAACAACATTTTTTTGCCTGCAAACATACTTCTAAAACTTTTATTACAGGCTATTTATAGCATATTATACCAAACTCTTTACCAAAATCAACAACAAAATAAACCTTCAATCCAACCCAAAAAAGTCCTGTCCTGTAAGATACATACTATTATTTTTCATTAACAAGTTAGAAAAACGAACTTAAAGATGTCAACAACACCAACCTGTCCAGAGGAGATAAGAGAATAAAATGTGAACTATATTTATATTCAAGCATCCTACATCTATAACCGAACATTTCTTTATGGTAGAAACCATCTTTATTTTTTATATCCCTAGTGATACCAACCGTACCTTTGTCTATGGGAGATACTTAACTATGATAATCAAAATAAGAATATCGTTTTCTGCATCGCTATTCACCGTGGCACAGAACATGAGGACTTCTTATAAGATGCAAAAATTCAAACTAAACTTTTCTCACCTTTAAAATCACATTCAGAAAGCATCAAATACACTACATCAGGATCCAGAGCAGAAAACATCTCTGAGATACTGGTGAAGAGTTCTTCCTGATCAATTTTTTCCCCGCACGCGGAAGGAAGAGTAGTAGTTGGGTCCTCATGACTAGCAACATGGGATACGACAATTTCCTGAGCGTTTGCAGTCTTCCGCAAAGTACTGCCCCCAACATTTTTCCTTTTCCTTGGCATTCTGACTTCCAAAACTAAAATACTTCCCTTTTTAAAAAAATTTAAAGATTTTTGATATTTAAATCATAATTCAAAAGAAAAATTGTATTTAAAAAATCTTGCAAATCCAGCAGTAATAGGACCTAAAATAGAAAGCAGGTAAAAATACTCAGACTACATAAGTATATTTCCACTTATAAAGTGGAGTGACATCTCTGTGTAACTCTAAGACAGTACCATCAACTCTGGCAGCATATCCAAAAACAAATCAGTATCTCCAAAACACTCAAGTTTTGTCAGGATTGAACATGTTAAAAATTAAAATAACAACATAGCATAACATATTTCAAAATAGTAAATGTACTGTTTTATAGAATTATTTAATTTTTTAAACATAAAAGGACCTATAAACATCAGAATGTCTATGAAACACCTATACTCATATATCTAATAGGCATCATAAACTTAACATGTCCAAGTCTGAGCTTCTGACCACTCCCTTCAAACCTGTTCTGGTAATTCCCATCTCAGTTAATATAATAATCCTTGCTCCTCAAGCATGTGGTAAGACAATTTGGCAATGAAGTTCCTAAAGGGCAGACAGAGCAGTATGATTGCTCTTCATCCCCTCCACTGCCATTACCCTTAGATTTAATTATCATAGCCTTTCTACTAGGTCACACTCACAGACTAAGCAATCACTTCCACTCTTCAGGCAGCGACAGCTAATCCATTAGCCTGGATGATAACTCCCTTCTGCCAAACTGTCCCCTAACTTCCCATCTCACTCAGGATAAAGAGAGAGCCTTTAAAATAGCCTGTCATCCAGACAACTGCCATTCTGGTACTGTCTTCCTCTGATCATTCCCTTGTTCTTGCCACTTAAAGCACATTTAGCCTTCCAGCTTTTCTGCTCTTCTTCAAATGTTTCAGTCATGCTCCCACTTGAAACCCTTTACACTTTGCTCCCTCTACCTACTTTTCTACCAGGTCTATAAAATTATTTTCTCACTACCATATTAGTATTCAAATTATTTTGACCACATTGTTAATTCATTACAGCAAAACTTTTATTTATTTATTTTTTTCCTGAGACATGGTCTCCTGTAGCCAAGTGACCTTGAACTTCCTATGTATCCAAGAGTAACTCAGAACTTCTGATCCTCCCACTTGCACCCTGTTTTATAATGCTGGGGTCATTATGCTAGGCAAGCACTCTACTAACTTAGCTGTATCTTCACTCTTTTCAAAAAGCATACTTCGTTTTCTATTTGGGTTTTCTTTGTGTTTTTTAATCTTTGGCATGTTATTCTTTTACTGTGCTTATTTATCTATATGTCTACTATCCATATCTACTAGGATGGAAGTCCCACAAGGGCAGAAACTTACAGATCTGGAATAGGCCACAGTATCCTTGCTTTTGTTTGTCTAATAAACATCTCAAATCTCTAAAATTAATTATTAGCCTGGTGTGGTAGCACACACCTTTAATCCCAGCACTTGGGAAGGCAAGGGAAGGTGGAGCTCTGTGAATTCGAGCCCAGCCTGGTCTACAAAGTGAGTCCAGGACAGCCAGAGCAACACAGAGAAACCCTGTCTTGAAAAACAAAAACAGCAACAATAATAATAATAACATAAATTATCTCTTAAAATATCTGAAATTAAATGTCTTGATATTTCCCCCCAAAATCTACCCTAAGCACTTGATCTGATGACCATCAATCTTGTACCTACATTCTTACCCCCTAACTTGTTTCCACTGCACCCCAACCCCTGTAGTCAATTTTCAACAATTCAGCCACAGTAATCTTTACAAAACCAAGTTAGAGTGGACCTGAGTCTTCTCTAAGCTCTTAAGTACTTTTCCAGGTCATTCAGAGTAAAAGCTAAAGTTCATGCACTAGCCTGCCTCCTTGCCAGCTCTTGATGTATTCTTCCCACAGATACTGGCACTGATAATTCTCACTCTAAAATTTTTGTTTTCTTTCCAAGTGTCATATTCAAGCATTTCTTCCCTGATTATCCAATTCAAAGTCCAATATCCCACTCCCTTTGTCCTCATCTCCCCTTTCTAGCTAACCACTCATTGAGCTTAACATCTTTTAACATACTATAAAATTTACCTTTTAATTAAATTTGTGTCATAGCTCCCTCCACCTTCCAGTAATATGACAGCCATCAGCCACATGTGCCTAAATTTAAATTAATTAAAATTTTAAAATTACTTTTTTATATATTATATCAGATATAATTAGAAATTAGAGAAAAGATTATCAGAAAAGGAAAAAAAAAAGAGGTCATAATAAGGACCAAGTCATCAGGAAAAAAAAAAAATAACACCAAATGTCTATGCATCAAAAACTACAGACGGAAAAAACAGAACTAAAAGAAAAAGTAAATAAACTTCACTATAGTCAAGATCTCAGTACTACACTATCAGCAATTTGTAGGACTAGACAAAATTCCAAGAATACAGAACTCAACAATTAAGGAAGGATTTAGTCTACATTTATGGAACACTCCTCTCCATAGCGGCAGAACAGACACACTTTCAAACGCACACAGAAGTTTACCATGATAAACCCATGTGAGTAAGAAATCTTAAGGAGCCTCGAAGAATTGAAACATACAAAGTATGTTCTGCAAGCAGAGAGGCAAACTAGAAATGTGACAGAAAGACAAAAGGAAAATCTTCAAACACATGGAATCTGAGCAATAACTGAGTCACAGGTTAAAAGAGCAACTCTTGGGGCTTGGAAAACAGATCAATCTGCAAAATGCTTGGGCACCACAGCCTAAAGAGCTGGATTACGTCTCTAGAACATATAAAATGATAGGCATATGCAGTTTCTTATAATCCCAGAGCAGGGAAGGAAAGAGAGGGGAAGACCCGGGAGCTCACTGGCCAGCCAGCCAAGCCATGACAATGAAACCTGCACAGACACTAAATTTTAAATTCTGTGAGTATCTCACTAATGAAACATATTAAAATAACAGATAAGCTACACTTTCCACCACTGTGACAAAATACTTGAAAAAAGGACTTAAGAGAGGAATTATCTACTTCAGTACTGGTTTCAGGATTCTGTCATATGGCTCCTGCTATGGCCCTAAGATGAGGAAGATCGTGAGGGCGCTCACCTGTTCAAGATCGATACATGGATGGACTAGTGACTGGGAGGTGCTAGAAACTTGGAGGTAGAAAACATGTTTGAAGTAGAAGTAGGTCACTGTCACTGTGACACAGAGTCTGTCTTGTCCTGGTCCTTCCTGACTCCCTGTCTGACGCCACCACTCCAGGGAGGAAACTACTTTGCTCCCCAGATGCTCCCATGATGTTCTGCCCTACCACAGCAGGGCACAGAAGCAAAGGGGCCAAGACAGAAACCTCTGAAACAAAGGGCTGAATAAATCTTTCCTCCCTAAAATTGCTTATAATGCAAGTTTGGGGTTCTCTAAAATCTATGTTTTCAAAGAAATATGTTTTTGTTTTAATCCCAAGTATGGGATACTAGTTTGGGCTTTAGTTTGTCCATAGCTGATAACTGTCTCTCGAGCGGGGCATAGTCACTGCCTGCTGGTAACAGCCTGCCTCGCGCAGCATGAAGAGGGGTGTAGTCTAGAGCTCTGAGGACATAAATATGAGAGCCTAGAAAGAGAAAATGTGACTGCAGTAGTGGCACGTGGCAAGTGGCAGTTTGGAGAGACCAGAGGTGATGGTATGGTGGCGTGGAGATAGACAGAGAGGCTTGGAGGAGACTGCTTGCTGAGTCTGCTACTGATGGAGACTGGTATGGCCCTAAAAGAATCCATCAACCCTAAACAGCAGGGAGGAGTAAAGGGGTCTGCAACCCCTCTCCCCACTAACCTTCTCTCTCCTACTTAGGGTGGGGGGTTGGAAGAAGGAGGCTTTAAGGAACCCCAAATAAAATAGAGTTTAAAAAACAAGTGCTACAACTGTTTTCTGCCGAGCTTGCTCAGAGATACACAGTATTCAATAAACACCCAAGCCAGGCATGTATAAAATTTCAGCTAAGGACAATTTCCAGTTGCTGAACCCAAACACAAAAGAGCAATTTTGTTGATGTTGTTTCTCAGACAATGTCTCCCTCTGTAGGCTTCCACCTAGCAATAGTGTTGCTTCACCTGCAGAGTGCTCAGGTTGGCAGCTGGTTCCTCCCATCAGCTGGACTCCCTTTTCCTGTTACACTTACGCACTTTGCAAAGTGTGCTAGTTCTAAATTCAAAGTACATCTTTGATAGCCAGCACAATGGCACAAGCCTTTAATCCCAGGACTCTGGGAGGCAGATGCATGTGGATCTCTGTGAGTTTGAGGCCACTTTGGTCTACATCGTGAGTTCCAGGACAGCCAAAGCTACAGGGTGAGACTCTATCTCGAAAAAATATCAAAAGAAAAAAATTGGTAATCCACCCAATTCTCATTACCTCCACCTGGATTAAATATAGCATCCTCTTTCACCTGGACATACTTTTAAGTGTGTGGGCTCTTTATTAAAATATAATATACATTATAATAAAATTCATTATTTTGCACAGTGGTTCTTAACCTTCCTAATGCTTTGATCCTTTAGTGTAATTCCTCATGTTGTAGTGACCTCCCATTCTTAAAATTATTTTTGTTGCTACCTTATAAATGTAAATTTGCTACTGTTATGAATCAGAATGTAAATATGTGTTTTCTCATGGTCTTAGGCAACCCCTGTAAAAGGGTCATTCAACCCCCAAAGGAGTCTCAATCCATAAGGTGAGAACCATTTATTTAGCGGTATTTTTCTTTTTCTTTATTTATATTTATGTGTGGATGTATTTATGTTTGGTTGTCTACATGTGTATTACATACGTGCAGTGCCCTCAGAAGCCTGAAGAGGGTCTCAGAACTCCTCAAACTAGAGTTGCAGGTGGTTGTAAGCTGCCCAGTATGGGTGCTGAGAACCAAACCCAGGTCCTCTTCAAGAGCAGCAAGTGCTTATAACTGCTGAGCTACCTCACCAGACCCTTTTTCCTTCTCTTCTTCTTCCTCCTCCTCTTCCATTTTTTTATACTAATTATTTTGGTTTTTAGTGTTTGTGTTATAAAGGATCAAACACAGGACCTCATCTATGCTAGGCAAATGCTCTACCACTCAATGAAACTCCCCTGGTCAAAAAAAACAAAACAAAACAAAACAAAAAAATCACCATTTTGCAGTACACAAGTCAGAGGTTTTTCAGTATATTTACAGAACTATACAACTATCAACACAATCTAATCCTCATCCATGAGCACTCAGTCCCCATTCCCCACCCTTTCACCCCTGGCAACCATAAATCTCTGTTGCTGTAGACTGCCTATTCAGACACTGTGTAAATGGAACCATGCAATTATGCCTTTTTATCCCTAACTTTGCTTTGTTTCACTTAACATGTTCAAAGTTCACCTAAGTTGTAGCCTGTGACAGCACTTCCTTTACTTTGTTACTGAGCATCAGGCTATGGTACAAATAACACAGCTTATTTAACAACTTTTCAGGGTTTCTCTGTGTAGCCTTGGCTGTCCTGGACTTGCTTTGTAGATAGGGCTGGCCTCAAACTCACAGCAACCCACCTGCCTCTGCCTCCCTGAGTGCTAGGGTTAAAACTGCACCACCTGTGCCCTGCTTGAATATTTGCTTTTTTAACTATAATAATCTTACTCTAAGCATTCTTTTTAAATGTTTATTTTATTTTACATGCACGAGTATTTTGCCTACATGCATGTACGTGCATCAAATGTGAGCACTGCCCCAGGAGACCATAGAGAGTACTGGATCCCTTGGAACTAGAATTACCAGCAATTATGAGTCGTCATGTGAGTACTTGGAATTGATCTTGAGTTCTCTGGAAGAACAGCCAAGGCCATCTACAGAGCTATCTCTCCAGCACTATTCTTGACATTCCTGAAAGAGTTTTAGGTATATACATGCCTTCATATTTCTCAAGGTGGAATTCTAAATCATATGGTAACTGTTTATCCCTTGGAGGAACCACCAGTCTATTTTCCTTAAGGTGTGTCAGTATGATTCCCACTCGCAACGTACAAGGGCTCCAATTTCACTACACTCTCACCAACACCTATTATTGCCCTTCTTTTTAACTATGGTGATTTTATTCTTTATCCAGCCTGGTTACTTAGTTTTGATTTTCATTTCCCTAAGGTTCAATGAGGCCAAGGTTATATGTACATTGCCATATATCTTCTTTGAAGAAATGTCTATTTGCATTACTTGCTCCTTTTAAAATTGAAATACTTTTATTGCCAAGTAGAAACAGGACTACTCACTCTACTCAGTAAAAGAGCATTTCAGACAGTGTGGGGTCTGAAGAATGGCCCCCACAGGCTCTTATATTTGAATACTCAGTCACCAAGCAACAACAGAACAATGACTAAGAGAGAGAGTCGCTAAAACTCTGTTTTGAGCTGAAGTGGGAAGGTGTAGCTATAGTCCAGGTTACTGTGGACAAAAAGCATAAAGACTGCTCAAGTACAGAAAGAATTTCAAGACCAGAAGGGGAACACAGCAAGAAAATATATTAAGTAAAAAAATTTAAATGCTTTGGATCATGTGTGTGTACTTGGGTGTGTGTATGCGTGTCTGTGTGTTACCAGGGGTTTATCCTAGGGCCTCACACATGCTAAGCAAGTGCTCTACCTTTGAGCTACATTTTCATGCTCCTTTTTACTTTTATTTCGAGAAAGAGAATCATTAATTTCCCAAGCTGGTCCTAAATGCAGTCAAAGTAGAAAGTGGCCTGAACTTCCAATGCTCCTGCTTCAGCCTCCCAAACTGCTAGAGACCTGACCTTAGGTAATACTTAAAGGAGTTAAAACAGAAAAGACACAAGTTAAAAATAACCCATATAAACCAGGCGCAGTGGTACATGCCTGTAATCCCAGCACTTAGGGAGGCAAAGGCAGGAGGATCTGAGTTCAAGACCAGCGTGGTCTACAAAGTGAGTCCAGGACAGAGAAACCCTGCCTCAAACAAACAAACACAACTATATAGCCACCCAAACAGCATGGCATTAGGATGAGAATATAAAGAGCAAAGGACTGTAAAACTATGTTCTATATGTTACTTTGTTATGTACTACTTTTACATTTTCCAAATATAATATAATATATGCATTTTTCAGAATAGGGGTAAAAGTTATTATCTCATACAAAAGCAAATCATAACTTTCCTATATACTTCCGCGGCTTACAAACTATCTCTTTTTCTTCTTTATGTCCAGATATATAGGAAATCATCATGTAAGAAGATTGAGTGAAAAGCCACACAATGTTCAATACAGTTGAGAAATTCTGGTGTACAAAAACACAGCTCAACATCTCAATTACCTACCGGTTTTATCTTATGTATCTAATTTACATCAGTCTCATTTTTTGTACAATAAGTGATTTATATTTAACTCATTTACCATCTAATCTGGTGTCTTCCTTTTTCCACATTCAGAACATTTTTGGTTTCTTGTTTAGTTTTTTTGTTGTTGTTTTGGTTTGGTTTTGGTTTTTTGTTTTGGGTTTTGATTTTTTTCAAGATAGGGTTTCTCTATGTAGTCTTGGCCTGTGTAGGACTTGCTTTGTAGACTAGGCTGGCCTCAAACTCACAGACACCTGCCTGCCTCTGCATCCCTGAATGCTAAGATTAGTGGCATGCAACACCCCATCTGGCATGAGAGCCTCTTAAAGACATGAGTTTAAGCAAGTTACAGTTTCTTCACATACAGGCCTGTCTTAAATAAAGAGAATATATTTTAAAGATACAAAAAATAAGGACAGGCAAGGTTTGGTGTACTATGGAAAAAATGTGATAAAAATTGGATCAAATAAACAAGTATTAATAATATATAAACATAAATTTCATATATGTGTCTCCAAAACTTCTATCTTAATATTCAATTTTAATCAGATAATCTTTGTTTGCCACAAGGTCTCACTGTGTAGGTTAGCCTCAAACTTACTCTGTAGACTAAGCTGGCCTTGAACTTGCATCATCCTATGTCAGACTCCCATATGTCCCTTTTAAAAAATGGTTTTAAAGAGCTAAAGTACTAGAACTCAGGATGTAGGGCAATTGATACAGTCCTTATGTAACATACATAAAACCTAGGGTTAGATGCCTAGAGCTACATAAAACTGGGTGTGGTGGTATATGCCTATACTCCCAGAATCAGAAGTTCACAGGGCATGCTGACACATACCCTTAATCCCAGCATTCAGAAGGCAGAGGCAGGCAGAGAGCTCTGTGAGTTCAAGGCCAGCCTGGTCTACATAGTGAGTTCCACATCAGGCTACCCTGCCTCAATAAATAAATAAATAAATAAACAAACAAACCTTGCCCCCCCCAAAAGAACAAATACAATGTTTCTTATATTTTGTGTTATGAGCTTAGCCTTATCTTTCTTTAATATTAAGTCACCTAAAAGATGATTTCAAGCATGCTATATGACATGTACCTGCAATAGAATCCCAGGACTCAAAAGGAACTGAGGCAGGAGGATTGTGATCTCAAATCCAACCTGGGCTACCTAGAAAATCCTTTCTAAAAAATAAATACATGTATCATATGATAAAGATAAGTAGATACTAAAAGTCTCATGGAGATACCAAGGGTAAGTCACCAAAATAGACAACATTTATAGAAAATAAAACCAATTATCTTTAACATGCACCTGTGTATCACAAAAACTTCAACAGTTGATAACTGAAGACACCCTGAATATCAGTAGAAAACAGAATGGTTAAATTATGGCAGCAGTACCCTGTAAGTATCACGCAACAAACAAAAATAATAAGGTATTCTGGAGAAAGCGGTGCTCTGAGACAGCCTGTGAAGGTAAAGCCAGTTGCTGAGCAGCATGTAGCTCTTGTTCTAGTAACAGACAGAAGGTGAACTTCTCTACAATCTACAGAAGGTGAACTCCTCCAACATTTCTACGGTCCTTATTTACTGCAATAACTTGCTTATTTCAGGACCTTCCATTGGTAGTTCACTAACGTGTATTTTCTGTAATATATTTAAACATGTTTTATACACAATTCGTCTTAGAACAACACACAGTGCCAACATTGCTCTGCTTCACCTTGAACACTGACAGGGACTGTGGACCACACGACACAGAGCACTATGCTCCCAACAGCCCTTGGACAGAACCTGGAGACAGTGACCGACAGAGTATCCACTCAAAAAGTAACTTTCAGTTTCATCCGTAGATGTTCACCTCCTTCACCTGCCCGTTTTTTGAGAACATGGATCACGACCTAAAACCCTTAACATGATTCCACAAATAAAGCAAACCCATTAAAAAGATGCATAGATGACTAACAACATGTAAAATATGGAAGATCAAGGAGTGAAATTTTAGGGTTAGAGTCATTAAATGGGAAGGCTAGGTCACCAATACATTAAGCTGTCAAAGTCAATGCTCCCATTGAACACAGGCTCTTCCACATACTATGTTAACAAAAATCTCTGAAACCTGCTTTCTCATGATTTTTCTTTTAATCCCTCAAACATGTAAATAAAATTTGAAATCCTATGTGTAAAATATTCATCCCCTATGATTTTAGTAGTACTTACTATCTGGCTGAAATTGACAATACTCTTGTGCTTAGGAAAGCCACAGATGACATCTGCAACTCCAGATTTTTTTAGTCTTCTTACTAAAAAAATAATAAAATGTAATGTTAAATATACTTTTAAAGCACATTTATATCAAATTACAATCTTTTTGGGTGGGGGGACAGGAAATCTCACTATGTAGCCCTGAAACTTACTCTGTTGACTAGGCTAGCCTAGAACTCACAGAGCTCCACCTGCCTCTACCTCTCAAGTGCTGGGATTAAAGGCATATGTGTGCCACCATGCCCAGAATTCAAACTATAACTTTAAATGAATAAAAATACAAAATAGATCAAACATTTAGGAGTACATGATATTGTTAGCAGAAAGCCATAGAAAACAGAAAGACTTCATTTGACAATGGAAGTGACTACTAAACTTTGAAAATTATTTTTATAAAGGGCCAGAACTAAACATTTATTCTAAATAAAATACTATCACAGAGTACCCATAATGAAAGCAAAGATCAGTCAGTGATTCACACTGCTTGTTTGAGTTTGATGTGGGCTATAGACTACTCCTTAGACCATGTAATGGTCTTGATTACCCTTTCCCCATGCCGCGTCCACAGCCTTGTGTTTCCTTCTCTGGCTCCTTTCTAGCCTAGCTCTAGGTTTCCACAGTCCAACCTGCACCCATGCCTATCCATGACTGGCAGAGCTGTTGTCTTTCCATCAGTCAAGAGACTGAAAACAAAGTGAGAACAAATCAAAGTTGTTGTTGTTGTTTGTTTGTTTTTTTTAATGTGTGGCATTTTTAACTTCAAAAAGTTACTTTTGCTTTTAGGTTCTTTTTTATGTGTATGAGTATTTTTCCTACATGACTGTCCACCACAAGCAGGCCTAGTGCCTACAGAGGCCAGAAGAGGGCATAAGAGCACCTAAAGCTGGAGTTACAAATTCTTGTGAGTTGCTTTGCGGGTGCTGTAAACAGAACACAGATCCTCTGCGAGAGTAGCAAGTGTTCTTAGCCACTGAACCATTTCTTCAGACTATTTTTAATCTCATTTTTTTTTGTTTCACAAATAAATGATATAAATAAAAAAAAATCACTAACCAATACTGAAAATCATTATTAAGTGAAATGTAGATAGAACTGGCCTTGTATAGCCAGGTGTAATTCAAGCACAGAGAAGGCTAAGGCAGTATCAGAAGCCTGAGACCAACCTGGGCTTCCTAGCAAGTTTGAGGCCAGACTGGGCTATATGGTGAGACTCAATCTCAAACTTCCATCCAAAAAAAGGGAGAAGTGTAAAAACGACACAGTAAGTTTTACATTAAGTACTATTTACCATAACATTATTTCAAATGGCTTAGGTAGTGTTTCCCTAGCATGTACAAGGTCTAAGTTTGATCACCAGTGCCACAACACTAAAAAAGAAACTTATAGGGAATGTTAGAGCTTGAATAGAAAATATCCCCAACAGGTTCCTATGTTGAAGGGTTGGTCCCCAGATGATGCTATTCTGGGAGGTGGTGGGACCTTTAGGAGGCAGTGCCTGGCGGAAGAAGGCAGGTCACTGAAGGCATGTCATATGAAGGGTACCTTGCCTCTAGACCCTCTCTATCTTTCTGCCGCCTGGTTGACTGTGTTCTGCCCGGAACTACAATCACCATGATGCCATGCCTCACCTCAGGCCCACAGCAACTGGGCCAGCTGAAACCTTGGAAACCATGAGCCAAATAGAATAAATGCTTGCTTCCCTACTCAGAACAGTCCTTTGGAAGCCAGATGTGATGCTGCCCGGCACTCAGATGCAGAAGCAAGAGGATCACTACCAAATTTGAAGCCAAACTGCTCAAAATAGAGGCCCAGGCAAGCCAGGGCAGCATAGCAAGACCCTGTCTCAAGAAAATGTATCTATTAAAGGAAAGCTCCTCAGCAGAAAAAAATAATAGCTGCTGCTTCAAGAGTGCCAGCCCACTCCCTTCATCTCATCGCATAAGGCACTGTGTGACCTCATATCACAAGATGAAGTATGAGTATGATCCTTCAATAGTCTTTTTTTTTATGTGTATGTGTGTTTTTCTTGTATGTATGTCTGTGTACTATATGCACGTCTAGTGCGCACAGAAGCCCAAAGAGGGCAGGCACTGGAGTTACAGATGATTATGAGCCGGGTCCTCCAGAAAAGCAGCCAATGCTCTTAACTACTAAGCCATCTCTCCAGTCCCAACAGTATAACTTGAGAGACCACATTCATATGACCTTTATTACAGTATATTGTTTAGAACTGCTCTACCATTTTCTATTCTATTATTCACTATTGTGTGCTTCTTGTACTGTGTCTAATTCATGAATTACAATTTAACATAAGTACTTATATACAGAGGGGGGAAAACATGCTAGGAGGTAGTCTACCATAAAACCAGACCTCCAGCCCAAGTCCCCTTTTCTTGAACAATATGTATTATTTCTACATGGATACCTGTACTTCTATTTCAACTCAGGTTGTTTGTTTTTATTTTTAGTAGTTTTTATTTTTAGTTTTTATATTTAGTGGTATATATAGAAATATGTGCTATGTAGCATATTTCTAATTAGTTACTTATTTTTGTTCCCTGCCCTCTCCCCCTCTGACAATGTTTTACATAGTTCAGACTGGCCTAAAACTTGCTATGTAGCAAAGATGATCTTCCTGCCTCTGCCTCCCAAGTTCTGGAAGGGATTCCATGTGCATGTCATAATGCCCCGTCTCCAGTTAAGATTCCTAACTTACTACACATCTAAGACCATCTCAAAGTTAGTTTCACAATGCATTTACTCCTCTGCACTCACTAACATGTAAATTTCATAATACTTCCACCATTCCCAGTGGCTCAAGCCATGTATTTAGCAAAAATATTCCTTGATTCTTTACTTCCATTGACTGTGATCCTCTCTGACGCCATATTTAACCTTACCTTCTCTCATACAGTGCACCCTTCTTTCCACCACCTTTCTATCTTCACCTTCAAACCACAACTCTAACCTCTGTCTTTCTCCTTTCCTTCTTTTATTTCATGTGCCCTATGATGCATGTACATGGGCAAGAGCATGCCATTCTGTGCATGTGGGGGTCAGAAGACAACTTAAACAGCAATCCATTCTCTCTGCCCGCCACAGAAGATCTGGTACTGAACTCAGGTCATCAGATTTGGCAGCAAGTGCCTTTACCCCTAAATCATCTTACTGGCGTCTCTCTTCTCATTCATTCATTATTTAGTCCCTAATTAGATCATGAACGCAGGCATAATTTATATGCACCAGAACAACAGTGGAGTGCTTTGTACGTGGAGGTTTTTAGTAAATATGGAGTGAGGAAAAAGATAAACATAGTACACACAGGGACTGGCACTATCTGCAGTTCCCAGCTTCCACTTAGGATCTTAGACTGTATTTCCAGTGGACGCTGAGGGCTACTCCACTGGCTTCTCTGTAGCCAGCACTTGACGTCTCACTCAGACTGCTTCTCTTCTGCTCACTTGTTTCACGTCACTATTCCTCCTGGGTCCTGTCACATCACTAGCCTTTTGTTCCACTCACTTTTTCTAGCTTCCTCCAAGTTCAACAGCTATAACTGGTTCTATTAAGGAATTCTCTCCAAAACTCAAGATAGTTAACTGCCTGACACACATAGCCACACGCCTATTCCATGGGTACTTCAATGTAAAAAAAAAAAAAAAAAAAAATCTTCCATGACTCTATGGCTTTCAATATCAAGGTCCACTTCCTTGGTAATGCATTCAAGGACTTCCATGACCTGTCCCTCACCTTAACAGTATCCTCCTCTTATACTTCACACACACTCTGCTCCATCTGCTTCTGCACACATGCTTCCATCAGGAGGTAATTCAGTATCATATATCTCTGTGTCATACGTGTTCAACCCACAGGTCCCTCTACACCCCACTAAAGCGAAGTCATCCACTCTCCCAAAGTCTGGTTTCAACTCAACTTCCAGTGCATCCTAGGCATATCTTTATCTTAACACCTTTGTATTCACTTTAGGCTACTATTATGAAAGCAGGTATGTGTATTATTTAGCAAACAAAAATTCAATAAATAGCCTTCCTGTTAGTGTAAGCTTAAAACAATAAACTTACCATCTTAGCATCTGGAATACTAAGGCCTGTAATATGAGCATCTCTTTCCCACAAATAAAGTACCTACAAAAAAACAATACATAATCAGACAAGTGACTATGAATGGCAATGGACCTCTTTACCTCTGCCCAGAACTCCTTCCCCATCCCTTACTCCATCAGGCGTCAGTTTTCCATTAAGAGAACCCAGGATAAGTGTCATCAAATAACACAGAGAGCCACTAAATTAAGACTTTAGGTTAGACAAGCCTGTGCTGACAGGAACCAGGTCCCGTCCTCAGCAGGAGGAGGAATGAAGCCCATATGCATTGTAAGTACAGGAAAGGTCCGGCTATGATCAAGTTCCCATCCTCACAGCCACCTCCAACATACAATTTCTATTACATCGTCATATGAGCCATCAACATCCCACCCATCCCATGGGCCACCTCCAGCACCTGAACTCCAAAAGGCCCCAGTAACAACAAAACCAAAAGATGAAAATTGGATGTCAAGGAATATTTTTCATTTAGGCTTAGAAAATTTGTGTCTATCAGATCTGATGTCTCTGTTCTTTCTCTCCTAAGTAACCTCCCAAATTACTATTTAATTGCTTTTTTTATTGTGCTTCAATGCAAATCAAATCATATTTTTCAGACACTTTATTATACCTTAAACCAGTACATGGTAAAATGACAAATAAGTAAGCAATTACAGTGTGATTAAAAGAACACAAAGCACTAAGGAAACACAGGCTTGTGTAATCCAGTTTGTGTCAAAGAGATCTTTAGCAGAGTGTCGCCCACATTGCAGACATGGCAGACAAGTATGACTTAGCAAACAGAAGTGAGATAACCAGGGAAGTAGTAAGACAGAGGTTTCTATAATAATGCATGGATTTAAAGAACTGGACATATTGAAGGGAAAATGCAAATAACTAAGTAAGACTAGCCCACTGAGGGGAAAGAGGGAA